CACCCCATACACTGTACACACACCCTATACACTGTACACACACCCTATACACTGTACACACACCCTATACACTGTACACACACCCTATACACTGTACACACACCCTATACACTGTACACACACCCATACACTGTACACACACCCTATACACTGTACACACACCCTATACACTGTACACCCATATACTGTACACACACTCTATACACTGTACACACACCCCATACACTGTACACACACCCTATACACTGTACACACACCCTATACACTGTACACACACCCTATACACTGTACACACACCCCATACACTGTACACACACCCCATACACTGTACACACACCCTATACACTGTACACACACCCTATACACTGTACACACACCCTATACACTGTACACACACCCTATACACTGTACACACACCCTATACACTGTACACACACCCTATACACTGTACACACACCCTATACACTGTACACACACCCTATACACTGTACACACACCCCATACACTGTACACACACCCCATACACTGTACACACACCCTATACACTGTACACACACCCTATACACTGTACACACACCCTATACACTGTACACACACCCTATACACTGTACACACACCCCATACACTGTACACACACCCCATACACTGTACACACACCCTATACACTGTACACACACCCTATACACTGTACACACACCCTATACACTGTACACACACCCTATACACTGTGTACACACACCCTATACACTGTACACACACCCTATACACGTGTACACACACACCCTATACACTGTACACACACCCTATACACTGTACACACACCCCATACACTGTACACACCCTATACACTGTACACACACCCTATACACTGTACACACACCCCTATACACTGTACACACACCCCATACACTGTACACACCCTATACACTGTACACACACACCCGATACACTGTATACACACACCCTATACACTGTACACACCGCATACACTGTACACACCCTATACACTGTACACACACCCTATACACTGTACACACACCCTATACACTGCATACACACCCTATACACTGTACACACACCCCATACACTGTACACACACTATACACTGTACACACACACTCGATACACTGTATACACACACCCTATACACTGTACACACACCCTATACACTGTACACACACACTCGATACACTGTATACACACAGCCTATACACTGTACACACACCCTATACACTGTACACACACACCCGATACACTGTATACACACACCCTATACACTGTACACACACCCCATACACTGTACACACCCTATACACTGCACACACACCCTATACACTGTACACACACCCTATACACTGTACATACACACCCTATACACTGTACACACCCTATACACTGTACACACACACCCGATACACTGTATACACACAACCCTATACACTGTACACACACCCTATACATTGTACACACACCCGATACACTGTGTACACACACCCTATACACTGTGTACACACACACACCCTATACACTGTGTACACACACACACCCAATACACTATGTACACACACACCCTATACACTGTATATACACCCTGTACACTGTGTACACACACCCTATACACTGTGTACACACACACACCCTATACACTGTGTACACACACACCCTGTACACTGTACCCACACACCATATACACTGTGTACACACACACCCTATACACTGTGTACACACACACCCTATACACTGTGTACACACACACCCTATACACTGTGTACACACACCCTATACACTGTGTATACACACCCTATATACGCTGTGTATATACTCTGTACACTGTATACACACACACCATACATACACTTTATATACATAGAAACAGGGGTGAGAACCTGAGACTCTTAATATAGCATACACACCATATACTCACTATCCTCATTACATATACTATATATACATGGAGTTTCTAATACAACTTGTGTATTATATACACAATATATTTATGGAGAGACCAGAAGTTTAATAAAACTGCATCTGTATATTTTACATAGTAGAAACAGACTGGAATGTATTTCATAGACTTAATATGCCTTGCCGTTTGCTGATCAGATGTGCTCTGCATTTGTGGTTTGTGATTTCATCTAAGCCTCTTGTCTAACTGCCCATTAGCTCACTTCAGCATATGTGCTAACCTATAGGTAACCTATATGTAATAAACATTGGATACAAACACTGTCTTAATGTTGGATAGTTGTGTAAACGGATCTGGCCCCGGCACTGTATCTTGCTGATGTGGCATAAATAAATATGTGATGTAGCATTATTGTGATGTTTGCATTGTTTCATTGAGCTTTGAATACCTCCCACCAATTGTATTTCACTCAGATCAGCTTAATCTCAATATTGTGCAGAAGGTTATCAACAGTTTGTGTACATAATTTTCGTTCAATTGTTTTTAAATGTTTTTCTGTTGATTATCTTAGTGTGTGGAGTCTTGTCCTGCTTGCAACCTCCGAGATGCTATTCGCATAAAAGGCTATATAAATGCAAGTTGTTCCTTCCTTGACCTGATGAAGTTAAGGGTTACCATAAAGAGTTGTGCCAATAGGTACACATTCCAAACTGTGGACTAGTTCCAAAAGATATGGTCACCAGAGGGAGAAACAGACAGTCTTAGGTTCTTTCCTAGTAGCTCCTTTTTATTGTTTCACTATAACCGTGCTCCTGTGAAGTCCATGTGATCTGCACTGTTTCACCCATAAACTACAGTCATTGCACTTTACAGTATATCCTCTGATGTGCTTTGAAACGTCTCAACATGATAAGGCACTATATCAAATTCAAGGATTATTATTATTTCCCCAAGTTATTTACTGTGCATTTTTCCCTTGCTTCAGGCTTCGGTTCCAGTGCGGTGGATCAAATGCTGGACGCAGAGAACAAGCGGATGGCAGAAAACCTGTCGAGTAAAGTGTCTCGACTCAAATCGGTCTGTGGCATTTTATTTCCACCAAAGTCACAATCTTTTCAGAATAACCAGCGTATTTGACTTCAAAGCGCTCTCTTTTAAAAATCTTCTGGATTGCTTTTCCTCTGTTGCATTTCCTTTTCACCAGATACCTTACAGAATTATTTTAAATAGAATACTCAGTTATCGTACAGGGAAATGAGAATTTCTGAACTCGAGAACAAGAAGGCTTTTAGTGCAGTGAAATAATCCTCAGACTTCATTAATATTAGTTGAGAAAGGTTAATGAGCAACTAGGGATATGGTGCTAAGGTGACCGAGTTCCGAAACCTGAGAGTTGAGGAAAAGGAGCCTCTGTTTATTATAGACAGCAATTTGGATTGCTTCTAACTAACCCATTTAGTAAACTTGAACGTGGATGATTAAATATCTACTTTAAGATTTCTGGTCCCCACTGTTTGATCTGTACATTTATCAGAGTATTCATTACAGTAATGATCGATCGAATTACAATAACGAGAGGGACAATTGTGTGGTTTTCAATAAGGGATTGAAATAATGGACTCTGGTTTATAGTGAGATGTATCCGACCTGTTCCACTCAAGTGCAAAAATATATATTTACATCTAGTACATAGTTCAAGAGCTGCTTTAGACAAGAGTTCAGTGTGTTTTATTTGGGCAATTGTCAGCCAGGACACCAAGAGAAACTGTTCTCCTTTTCAATAGAGCACAGGATCTTTCACATCCACCTAAACGGGCTTTGGGACCTCTGTTTTAAAGTCTCATTCAAAGGACGGCATCTCCGAAAATGCAGCACTCCTCCAGCACCACATTGCAGTAAAAGCTGACAGGTTTCTGAGCTTGAGTTCTGTATCTGTTCTCCGAAGGGCCTCTTTCCATCGACATTTGATCATTTCAGCCTTTGTTTTTTAAAGCTTGATTTTGTGTTGGAAACAGATTGCTCTGGATATCGATAAGGAGGCGGACGATCAAAATAGGTACCTCGATGGCATGGTGAGTGTGTTGCTAGCTAACTGCTTTATTCAAAAGAAAAAAATTGGCACCTAGGTTGGTGAGAATGCCAACTATCGCAACTTTGATGCTGGCCATGGCAAAGACTGGGCATCATACAACAACAACTTGCATTTATATAGTGTCCTTTACGCGGGGAAGCATCCGGAGCGCTTGATCATACCTGGACCTTTCTGCTCTGCTTGCCTCAGTTTCACGTTTAGAGTGACTTTACCCATTGAGCTAACGAGGATCCCTGATACTCATCTGTTAATAATAATAATAATCCTTGCACTTGTCTTATCACGTCTTTGAGATGTCTCAAAATGTTTCTCAGAATATACTGTTCTTCAGATATTGATAATGAACTCCAGAGTTAGTTATTTCCCCCCGGTTATATTTTATAACATTTATTGTTCTTAATTCTTCGCTAGGATTCGGATTTTATGAGCGCGACTGGACTGTTGACCGGAAGCGTCAAGCGTTTCTCCACGATGGTGAAGTCCGGCCGGGATAACAGGAAGCTGCTGTGCTACGTCTCTATCGGGCTGGTGGGCCTCTTCTTCATTTTGTACTACATGCTCACAAGGGCGCGGACTTGAGGGGCTTTGAATCGCACAGTGTATCGCGAGAGAAAGCGCAGGAACTGCTGATTCTATCTTCTCTGTTCACCAAGAAGACCTGCCTGGTGTCCTTTGGAAGAGGTGTTGAGAACTCCCGACTGTCCTTTTTCTATGCCAAAGTCTTTTGACGTTCCTTTCTGAAGGGTTTTAATTGAACTGGAATATGAAGGTAATGAAGCACTTTATGGGTCCAGTGAGAGCACATGACCGTATAATGATACTAGTGTGCTCGTGAGCTGTGGCACGCACCGCGTTAGGACATTAACACCAACTGTGTTCTTTGTACAATTATAGCTGCATTAGGACATCAGCCCAATCTATTAAAATGTATGTCGCTTGCAAGCCATTAATGTCATGAATTGGGGAGAGCGGCCTGGATTGCTGTCAGTCTTCAACAACAACAACTTGCATTTATAATGCGCACTTCACACAGGGCAGCGTCCCAGAGTCTTCAGTGAACAGAACGTGCATAATTGTCTACATAATTGTAGCAAACTATTGAAATATGACCACAAATGTTTTTATATATATATCTATATAGATATATATATAGTAAACTCCTGATAACTCAACCCGGCTTAACTTGTCACCACCACTTAAATCATTATGCAGTCAATATCCCAGCTGCATTTATTAATGTATTTATACATATGCCACTCCAAATAACTCATCTGAGCCCTTTTCCTTTGAGTGAAGAGTTATAATAATAATAAAAACAATGATTGTCCATAAATGGTGAGGGGGTCAAGGGGAGGAATAAATAAACCAGAGATTGTTAAATAAGCACCAAATATACTTTATTCAACAGTTCAGGAAAATTGTAAATAAAACTATTTAACACAATACTGATGTGCATCCTAATATGCTAGGTTAGAGGTATGTTTTAATGGTTTTGATTGGCATGTCTAATAGTGTCACTGAATGAACAGCGGCCGGGGGTAGAACAATAGAAACTGTGCATTGTGTTAATTGGAAACATTTAAAATAACTTAAGTTATTGCCATTTTTCAGATGACCCCAAAATGCTTCTGTCCGTTACATATTCAGTCTTGCAATTGATTGGTGTCCAATTGAATCGATTTCTGATGAATTAATAGAAATTACTACAGTACCACAGGTTGTAAAATTCTGTTCATTTAATGACTGTTTCTGGATCATTCTAGATGTACGTTTCATTCCTTGTGCTTATTGGGAAAGCTTTCAGTTTCTACCATGTGGTGAAATTAACAATGTTTCTTGAGGCATTCAACATGGTAATCATTGCTATGATATACTGCTAAATTATTCCCAGTCTTTCCTTGCATTTTGTCACATTAATCTTAAAGCTACAGTCAAAGCAATGTGCAGCAAAACGTTCATCTTTCACATAGTCTAATCTAGTCTCATAAAGTGAAGAATAAAAACAAAGTACAGTGCAATATGTTGAGAATGTTACTGTTGACAAGAAAAGCACAATAGAAAAATGACATGCGCGAAAGATGCAAAATCGAATCATTTTCACAAGATGCTTTGAAGAAAACGCCGATAGAAAGAACTCAACAACAATTTGCACTTGTATTGCGCCTTTCTGCAGGGAGAACCTCTCAAGGCGTTTTATGGAGAGCAGAATCCCAAACTGGCACAAATTTAAGGTTGGCGACATTACGCAACATCCACTATGAGCGGTGCCAGATACTCTGAATGCCTGACTCCGAAGGAGAACGCAGGAGCCACACCTCGATTGATTGTAACCTGTGTGGTTAAAAAGAAGACGTTAAATATTCTATTTTCAAATCATTAAGCCAGAACTATCCTTCCTGCTTTACATCACTTTCAAGCGCGAAGCAAAGTTATTGTAAACAAATGCCTGAGTGTAGCGATCTGTGAATTCATAATAATAATATTTGCATTTGATATAGCGCCTTATCACGCTGTTAAGCCATCTCAAAGCACTTCACAGAATATCTTGTAAAGTGAATTGACTATATTTTGTGGATGAAATAATTGGCAGCAGTCAATTATGTGTTTTCGGGGAGGGATTGTTACCCCCACAAAGCCGATCGACTAACAACCAGGTTCCTACTTACTGCGAGGTAAACAAAGGTGCACTTAATAGTAATAATCCTTGCATTTGATATAGAGCTTTATTATGTCTTCGAGACATCTCACAGAATATACTGTAAAGTAAATTGACTTTGTTTTGTGGGTGAAACACGGCAGCCAATTGTGCACAACAATGTCCCCCAAACAGTCGTGGATTGAAATGACCAATTCATTATATTTTTGAAGGGATTATTACCTCCAGAGAAGCTATCCGCCTATCGATTTAACAACCAGGTTCCTACTTACTGCTAGGTGAACAGAGGCATGTGGAGTAAGGAAGCTTGCACAACATTTAGTCCTGTCGGGAATTGAACCCAGATCTCTCACTTACGTAACGAGTGCTCTAACCACAGAGGTACAGGACTCCACCCCTCAAGCACTCTAAACCACCCTTTCTCCCAGGTGGTGTCAGGAACAGAACAGCAGTATAATTCACACCCTACCTCAGAACCTATTGCTTGTCTGGAAACGCGACACAGAAACTTCAGCCCACATCATGAGTTCAAGCCCTGACATGCGACTTGAATCCACATGCCTTCTAACCCGAAGGCAAGGTGTGCGAGCTGAGTTAATCTCTGATGGTAATAATCAAGATGAAGTAGTGGTGATGGGAAGTTTTGAGGAAGGTTCACCTTACCTTCTCTGGACAGTGACTCCCTGGTCCCGGTTTCCTTGTCGAATCGCCGGGCAGCTGGTTACGACCCATCATACTGTACTGGGGTGGTTTGTACTTGTATGCATTGGGATCAGTGACACTATAGGCACCAGGACCTGGGGTCTGGAGTAAAAATCTAAATATATATATATATTTTTAAAACACACTAATAAAGGTTCTTGAGCCGCCCAGTACAATTAACTTAGGGGGGAAAGAAACATTGATTCAGATCAGTTAGTTTTCCAATCCGCCCTCTAATTTGGTCCTCACTTACCATTATACCATGGCCATGTAGTTAGTAGAATCACCATATTCAGAATTGCTATCACAAACCTCTATACCCTATCACGGTCATCGCAGTGAAAAGAGCAATTGAATTGACGTTTAAAATTAGCCACCTTAGATACAAAGAAAGTCAAATGGAAGCTGGGAATGTTCACACTGGAGACAAGAAGACTTGGCAGAGAGCTTATTGAAGCTTATTCAGCATTCAATCTTTGTAAAACATTTAACACAGTCACAAAGGGAGCGCGGAATTAGAGCTCAGAAGAAGGAAAGGCAAATGGACAGCATAGGGATCATTACTTTCACGCAGAGCCTGGTGAAAATGTGGACCTAACACATTTGAGAGAGGACTACATTATAGATAGCGAGGGGAAGAAATGTATTGAGGAGAGGTAAAGTAGCGTATGCTTAATTTATATATATATATATACACACACTATTTTGGGATCTACCAGGTAGACCACAATGGTCTTCTCTTGTCCCGTATTTTTGCCACAATCCCATTAATGCATTCCTCGCCAAGTTCCACACCCATGTAAAGCCCGAACGCAGTGCGAAGCCATTTCATTACCTGTGAAGCCGCAACGGAGAGACAAAGTGACTACCTTTTGCAGGTCCTCGTGAAAACTGCCTATTTTACTGCGTCCGCTGAGAGAGTAATTGGCGGAAGAGGATTTAGTCATGATGTTTGGACCTAAGACAGCAGGCAGTTTGTACTGTGCCGGACCTTGACAAGAAGGAGTTAAAGACTATTTATGTATTTACCCAATAACGTGGAGAAAAATGATCAACGCCAAAGAAAGCTTGCCATCACTTCATTGACACATTTCATCTCGTGTTTTGTAGGTGAATGTGGCAGCCAATTTACACACAGCAACGTCTCACAAACAGCTATGGAGTAGTGACCAATTTTATTTGGGGGATTGTTGGCCAGGACACCGGGAGAGAAAAACTTGCTTCTCTTTTTGAATAGTGCCATGGGCACTATTAACGTCCACCTGAACAGGCAGAAGGGACCTCGGTTTAACGTCTCATCCAAAGGACAGCATCTCCGACCATACAACCCCCCCCCCCCACACCCCACATCCTCACCCACACACCACGCACGCACACACTTCTGAGCACTGCAGTGGGTGTCAGCCTGGACCGTGTGAGTTCAAAGTCCTGAAGTGGTGGCTTCAATCCACAACCTTCCAACTCCGAGGTGAGAGTGCGACTGACTGACTGAGCCAGGCTGACGCATTAAAGTTGCTGCTATCTTTGTAACTGCTATTATCAATGCTGGAGGCAATGTGCACTTCTGTTATTTAACCTTGCGCAGTCACTGTACCTGGAGACTGGTCCAGCTTGAAATCCTTTGTCCTTCCTGAGATAGAATATGCCGGAGCTGCACTGTAAGCTGATTTCCCCGACCTCTCGGGAGCATACGAACCTGCACAGAGACCGAGATCAGGGTTTATTTAAAATCCGGCCCATTCCTCTACTGCCTGGGAAGTGGAAATTAGTACCAATTCTGGAAAACAAAGGACTTGGACCAGATTTGATAACGAACACAGTTTGCTCCCGTTTCACAAAGGTTTACGTTCGACCCTGTTTGTCATTTCAGGTTCTGTCTTACTCTCGCCCCTCACACAAGGGGCTGCTTTGTCACCACACAGCCCGCAGACCAAGGCTGCAAACACTGCTGGGTGCAATCGGCTGGCAAGAGGCGTGCGCCTGCACTGGACACAAGACGGGTAATGTGTTCATCACCGTGCAATTTAGGGTTAAGCTAAAACCACGTAGGTTTGCCATCGAAAGCACCGGCTTTGAAATAAAATGTGTTAAACACCACAAATAACAGTGGAGTGAATTGAAGCCGTGTCAGGTCCTTGAGGGTTCAGGTAATGAATGTTAAATGATTCAGCCTCTCTCTCACAGCCTACCCCTCATGAGGCACCTCACGTTGATCACTGCCCCGCAGTCCACTCACACCATTTATTCGCCTCTCGCCAGAAACTGTACGTAATATTCCATTACATGGTTAGAGGGAGACCATTAGTTAGCGTGCGGTCACCAGCAATTTCTTTGGGCTTGTAGATAAGAGTCTTTGAGATACCAGTTGCATGGTTTGGGGGGAGCTACTTATCGTAATATCGTAGTTCTGGGTCAACCTCATGTTACTGTGACTCAGTCTTAGAACTAGATCTCAGCTACCTGGCCCCGGAGTCCGAAAGAGATTGATGTCTCGAGGCCGTCCATAAATGGAATAGGCCGGGGTGCCATCCCTGCCTCTCCTGGTCAGGAACGATGGGATCAGATAAGCCGGACCTGGGGAGCTATTGGTCGTGAATCTTGCGTGCGTAACTCCGAAACTGAAAGCCGGGGACTTGAATTTGGTGGCGTCGTGCTCCACGTATCCTAGAGAGAAGAAGGACGCAATGATCAGTATAAAATAAAATGAGTTACTCACTCCATGGGCTGTTTGTGGGACGTTGCTATGCATAACCTGCTGTCACGATTTGCCCACAAAATACACTCCACTCTACAGTATATACTATGAAGTGCTTTGAGACATCTCAATGATGTACGGAGACCAACAAAGCCTCAGAGGTGGGGTACCAACAACAACAAATGATATTTGTATAACGCCTTTCACGTCAGGAGGACATCCCAAGTCGCTGGACAGTCAGGGATTTGGACCTGAGACTGTACAACAAGGCTGTACAACATCCTGCTGAATAAAGGCCCATCTTCGTACATAAGGAAAGCAGCTTGCAGGAAGGTAAAGGTAGATGGGATGATTGGTGAGGGAAGGGAGGTCAAGAAAGAGAGAGAGAGAGGAAGTTCTCCACAGGCAGAGAGAGTGAGTTGAGGGCAGGGCAGATGAATCAAGATGGAGCAGCCTGAAAGAGGGATGAATGGGAAGGAAAAAATGAAACGATACTGTAATAAAAACAGGAGTTGATAAGACAGCGTAAGAGAGTGAAATGGGCGCAGAAAAGGATTATAATTTTCATTGCATATCTGGCATGAAAAACAAATCGAGTCCTGTTGATGAGGGAGTCATTTTGAAAGAGGTGAGGCAGATGGAGGAGAAGAAGATGTCAAGATATTTGGGATACGGGAGCAAGACTTCAGCTGCTATGAAATGATAGAATAGGGAAGCAATAGGGCGTAACCTGGGCGTAAAGAGCTCGAAGGAAGGGACAGAATGCGAGTGTATATGACAACAGAGGGACAGACAGGAGGACTGAACAGACCTGTGAAACTGAGGAACGCAGCAACTGTGATCTGGGTGGTCTGCTTTTTATGTTTCTCCAGTAACTCAGCAGAGATTCAACATTCAATGGTTGTGTTAAGCAGCGGGAAGCTTGCCAGGCAGTTCTCTCAATGCCAAGCTACGCGGTGTTAGCTGGTTCGACTCCAGCAGATACCTCAATCCACACTCTGGGGTCCCCAAGTCTTAACCCTTTCCAACCTGCGCCTAATGCTCTCGGAATTAGGTAAGTGGAATGCGTCCCTCCAGAGAGAGAGTGAACTTTCTATTCCAAATACAGGGACATTTTCATATGTAGGTGTAGAGATATAGGTTTGGCCCATATTCTGAAGGCCCCCTGATTCTTAAAATAAACTCTGAAACTCTCTCCCTTAATCCCTTCACCTTGCAAACCCCCAATCCCACCTTTAAATCCCGCCTGAACACCTTCCTTTTTGATTGTGCTTATGGTCACCTCCCTCGCACTGGTTTGTTGTTGGAATCCACCACTGTTGAGCGCTGCAGGACGCTACCTCGCATGAGAGGCGTTATATAAACGCAAGTTGTTGTTAAAATAGCACTCAGAGTATTGAACTAATGTGCCCTTTAAACAGGGCAATGTCTGGAGTGCCTGGTAATTATTGCAGATCATTACAGAGGCAGCTTTCATTACAGAGCTGGATTGGGACCAATTAAAAAGATGCCCCCAATGCACCTGTAGGAGGCTACACACAAAAAGTAATGGGATGTTTGTGTTGAAACACCTTTTGAAAATTAGTGAAGGGGAGGCATATGTAACTGCATTCATCAGTGTCCATGGTGAAAGCATTGAAAGGCAAACATGAAACGCAAACAGAAACAGGACAGTTAGAACAAAGAGAGCATTAAATGTAGTTGGGTGACAAGACAAGACGGAGGAGAGTGAAAGGACAGAGTAGAGCTATGGAGAATGAGATAAGGCAATTTATACAGTGCTTGTTGTTCTGTCTGTCCGTAACATTACACACTCATACTGCCTGGGACGTCCTCCCGACGTGAAAGGCGCTATACATATGTAATTTTGTTGTTGTTGTTGTTGATACGTGCTCATTACCTCCGTCTAGTACCTTTTGTTGAATGTTACCTAGCCTCGTGAGTTTAAATCAACATGATTCACTTCGTGCCTGTTTGCGGGAACATTGCACAAATTGGCGGCTGTGTCTACCTACAAAATACGCAGTCACTGCATTTGCCAGCAATTTACCTGCGCAGCAACATTACATAGAAAATTACAGCGTGGAAACAGGACATTCAGCCCAACTACTCTGTTTATACTCCATTCAGACCTCTAAACCCTCTCATATCCGCTATTCCCTTCTCTGCATTGGAGAGAGGGGAAAAATGTGGGGAAGTCATGAGCTGGCAACAGGGCTTGCCAGGAAGGGTGGTCTTTTGACATTATAGATTCCATATTACAATAATAATAATCCTTGCATTTGATGTAGCCTTATTACATCATTGAGATGTCTCAGATCACTTCACAGGATGTGCTGCAATATGGTTTTGACTGTATTTTGTGGATGAAAAAGCAGCAGCCACTTTGCACACAGCAATTCTTAAACCCACAACCTTGCAAGTGATAGGACCTGGGTTTGATTTCCAGGCAGGGTGAAACATTGGGGAGGTTTCCTTACTCCACACGCCTCTGTGTACCTAGGAGTAAGTAGGAATCTGGTTGTTAGTCGATTGGCGGATTGCTTTTCTGGGAGTAACAATTTCTTTAAAAAAATAATAGATTGGTCACTCAATCCATGACTGTTTTTGGGACACAGCTGTGCGCAATTGGCTGCTGAGTTTCACCCACAAATATACAGTCAATACACTTACATTATATTCAGTGAAGCACTTTGAGACGTCTCAAAGACATGATAAGGCACTGTACCAAATGCAAATATTATTAGTATTATTATGCAGCACGTCAATTGCTGAGCACTTACCTGTAGATCCCGGAAGTCTGTACTTTGGCCCTGGGCTACTGTAATGCGCTGCAATGGGTCCTCTGGGCCGGTGGGGTCTCCAGTTTCCCACCCACAGTTCAGTGCTCATTGCTCCGTCTTAAAGGAACAGATCTCCAAGCAGAAGGTTATGGCTACAACACTAAATGCAACAAGCCAGACGTTTAGCACAGCCTACCACAAAACATACTTCACACTGAGCTTAGGAAATGTAAACTGAATAATTCCTGTGCACACAACCTATCAAGTCACTGACTCAATGTTTTTTCACTTACTTCAGCTCAAAAACAATACTTGCCCTTGTGGCATCCAAATTTGGAGATAAATGTACAGCCTGAGTTTGTCAGCTGTTTGCCTGTATAATCACTGGTTGCATATTGTACAATACTTGCATAGAAAATGTGCAAATCTGTTTGTTGTATATGTGACCTATCCTGTCAAACTCTAGAGCACTGTTACTGTTGATGTACAGTAGCAATGCACAGTATAAATACAGTCAAATTGTCTTCAACAACCACTCAGTGGCCTTTAATTACGAGAAATGGCAAGTAAACGTTGAATCTGCTTGTTCTGGTGGAAGTTATGGATCCCATGGTATGATTCGAAAATAGAAGGGAGTTTCTCTCTCTGGGTGTCCTGGCCAACAATCCCCCAAAATAAAACTGCCCACTCACTCCATGTCTTTTTGTGGGATATTGCAATGTGTTTTGCCCACAAAATACACAATCAATCCACTTTGCAGTATATCCTGTGAAGCGCTTTGAAACGTCTCAATGACATGATAAGGCACTGTATCAAATGCAAGGATTATTATTATGATGATTATTATTATTGTTTTGAGTGGTGCTTTAAGTTCAGGGCTGTATGTATGTCTAATCAAGGTTAATTTAGCTCCCTGACCCAGTTGACCTGCAAAGCAGTCAATCTGATGGTCATCAGTGCTCAATAGCCTAAAATAAACTAATAAACTAAAATAGCCTAAAAACAAAATCCGCAGAAATGGGCCAAAAGTCTGTTATATCATAATTTATAATTCAATCATAATTCTTTTTGGGATGCTTTGAATTCTTAAAGGGTCCTGACAGCAAGACTGTCACTTTATGGGATCAATTTACATGTGTTTCTTTGTGCCTTACTTATTTAATTAATTAATCAATCGAGTGAGAGCGGTGTTCCCGCTTGAGTAAGAGTCAAGGAATTCTAGATTACTTAATTAAGAAATCCATTACAAAGATGCAAAATCAAATATACTGGTCATTTTTGCCACTTCCTCGGTCAAGCCTACCTCCCCTTGTTCCTAACCTTTCAACCATATGTCAACCTCATCATTAGGATTCAGTTTATCTCTGTCAAGCTATGCGCTTTTAGCTGGTTAGACTCCATCAGTTACCCCAACGCACACTCTGGGATCCCCAAGCCTTGGCTCTTGCCAACCTGCGCTGAATACTTTCTGGAATGAGATAAGCAGGATGCATCCCTCCAGGGAGAGAGTGCGCATTCCAGTCCAACAATCTATCTCTGGGATTTCCATGTGTAGGTGGGATGCATGGAATTCTCAGTTTGGGTTTGGATACTCTTAAGCACGGTGATGGGTTTCCGCATGTCAGACATCATCTGATTTGGGATCTTGAACACAGTACAGTACTCCAATAATGTACTGCATCCACTTCTTCAGCGTCAATCACATTTTACATGAACTGTTTCCTGATTCTATTTAAGACATTAATAATGTTTTGAAGGCTGAGATGTGAGCCAGTGAACCCAAAGCAATAAAAACAGCAGCAGCATTCTGTTCCACTCTCACATGGAAATCCCATAGGAAATATTATAACAATCCTTGACATAGATATACTTGCAAGTACACTCAAGAGGAAATACATACCTGACAGACTTTTAGAAATGATTCATTTAAGACTGTCTTTCTCCTTCTCCCTTAAGTTGCAGTTCTCTCCCTTCTCTCTCCCTCTGCAAGAACTAACAATGAATGATCCTCTAACCCATGCCTTCCCAAACCTTTCATCTCCATGGAAACTGTACACAATCCCCAAAAGAACTAGCTCCAGGGTGATATCACTGCCTTATCCTGTACTCAATGATATCTGCAACTAAGGTAAGGGGACTTAACAACCCTCCGATTTCTACAACCTGAACTTTAAATGGGGGGGGGGGGTGTTAAGGTAAGATAGTTTTATTGCAAAGTGGGGAGATCAGCGACGAACCAAATTCCTCAACTTTTAATAACCATGCTTTCAATCTGAAATGGTATAAAGTCAGCTTTGAGAATGTCCACCAACTGGATGTGAGTTTAACGTTTGTACGCATTATTACACAGTAATGTGACAAAAAATGCAGTGGGTCCTTTATGTTGTTATAAAACAAATCCCACATCTGACTTCCCTTCCCTCCAGTCCATCCACAAAATATACAGTCAATTCATTTTACAATATATTCTGTGAAGTGCTTTGAGATGTCTCGAAGACGCGATGAGGCTCTATATCAAATGCAAGGATTATTATAACCCTGCCCAATCCCTTTCACTGGTGTGTTTAGTTCAAAATCATGTTGATTTCAGTGCAATCTATTGCCGCCCCACCCAAAAACAAGTTACATTGACAGGGATGATTTTGATCTGCAATTAATCTAAAGGGAATCCAGTCTTTGAAATCGCAAAAAAAAATTGGAAAGCAATTAAGTAAAAAATGAAATCACAATTATTCTTGTAACAATCTCCCCCCTCCCAGCCCCAGCCCCCGTGTAGGTAATAAATATTAATGTTGGATTTGTTGCTGATGTTTGTTTGCTGTGCGTGCATGAAACATTTAAATTAATGTGAAAGTTAGCGAAAGTTAGAAAAGTTTTCGCTGCTGAGTGATCATAGAGAGAGAGTGAGAGATCACTGAGAATAGGTACCATGGAGACAGCGCACACACACACACACAGAACTGGTGCCCAGCAACTGCAATAACCTCTGAACACTTTCAGGACTGCGGTATAAATACAGGGACTTCACCGCGGAAAAAGAATTGCACACGAAAGAGATTTAAAAAAAAGCTATTAAAAAATGAAGAAGCTGATACAATTTCCATAGAAACCAGAAGCCATCAGTGTCACATGAATTCCTGCAGTAAGCCTTGTCCTCTTTCCTGTACTGATTTATTTATTGATCCTCTGCTGAAAGCTGCTGGCTGCGTCAACTCTTAGGTGCGGTGGTTTGAGCTCATAGTCTCGGCCAGGGTGGTCCAACAGGCGGCCCACGGGCCGCATGCGACCCGGTGGATGATTTCATCCTGCCCCTGAAGCATTTCCGAATTCGGGCCGCCTGCTCTCACCGTTTGTGAGACCGCTGCATGCAAATGGGCTGCGCATTCGTCTATAAATTTCACAGCCACTACACTTTTGTAGGGTGACCATACGTCTCGTAATTCCAGATTTCCCAGGACGATATATTATGTCTCTGGGGCCAACCTATGCCCTGTCTTGAGTTCAGCAACAAACAGCCATTAATCCAACAAGCTTCTCCAATACTGCCAGCATCAGGAATTGTGAGAATGTGTGTTTTATATGTGTCCCTGGATTTGGTTTACAAACTATAGTCATCCTACTTTACAGTAAATCCTGTGAAGCGCTTTGAGACGTCCTCCCGACGTGAAAGGCGCTGTAACAAATGTGAGGATTGTTATTATTATGGATCCACTCTGTTGAGGTATAAGAATTTATATTTGAAATCCATCTGGTCAGGGCTGGGGTAAAACCTGCAAACTAACTTAACAAAACATTGTGTAAATTGATACAGAATTCATTCGGAAAGATCCCAACTCCAGCAGTTCTTTTGACCATTTGGCCTATAATTCCCAGAAATCTTTATACAGAGGAACCAGCCGTGGTCCAGTCCAGGACAGAAGATCACTGCACCATCCAGAGGACTCAATAGACCTTGCAACTAGAGAAAACCTGAACAACAACTTGCATTTATACAGCGCCCTCCATGTGAGGTAGGGGCCCGGAGCGCTTGACAGTGGCAGAGTTTGAACATATTAACTTAGCTGCCAATAACAGTGAGCAGCAATTTATATGTGAGAGGCAAAGAATGGCAGAAAGAAAACATCAGCAATAACAATCAAATTCTAATTTATCTCTGACAATTTCATTCCCTTGTTTCCTCTGATCCTATGCTGTACAGTATACGTAATTCCTCTATAAGGCAAATGGGCCAGCTAATTCGTGCTTAACAATCAATGCCCCGCAAACAGCCATGAAGTGAATGAACAATTTTTTTCTATCGAGGCAGATTGTGGTCAGGTCGCCGGGAGAAACTACCTTCTCTTTTCGATTAGTGCCATGGGATCTTTAAAGCCCAGTTGGACAGGCAACAGAAAAAACCTTGGTTTAACATCTCATCTGAGGAACGACACCTCTGACATCACAGTGCACTCTGGTGAAAATATCTCAGCAAAGAACCGAGGTGTCTAAAATTTAAATAAGATTGATAACATAATCCCAGAACGTACTTTAGGATGCACCAGGACAGTAGATCGGGAGGACACGGGTTTAGAGTTTGGAAGGGCAATCTTAACCACTGGAAAAAGGTTGTTGAGACCGGGACATTGGGACTCGTTTAAAAAAAACAGCTCGATGCTGTGATGGGAAGACAGTAAGGTGTGTGTTCAAATGGACCAAAGGATCTTCTTCATCTGAACCGTTCTTGTGATCTTGTACAATTGATTTGAATTTTATGGTTGTTGTGTTTTCACTGTCAAGGCAACAAGTGATAAGAGTGATGCAAGACCTGGAAGGTTTGTGGGATTTTAATGTAGTTAATTCTAACCTGGGGAAATCATGAGTAAATGATAAATTATGCATTAGGCTAATTATACAATATTAATATTGTGCCATATATATCATTATTATTTATGTATGGAAGAGATTCGGATGGAGATGACCAATATGGTGATGTAATAATCCAAGGTTCATTAAGTAATACAAATAGCTTAACTTATTCTTAAAACTGAGACCATAGATACAGTAGAATCAATCTTGATTCCACTGGGCAGTGCACTGACCCTCTAGGACAACTCCAACTATTCCAAACTTACCTCTTTTATTTGTACCCCAATTTAGCCCACGTGACCCTTACAACTAAAATGGAATTCAAAGGTTGTTTTGTCCAATCATATCCGAAGTTCGATTAGCCAACCGTACCCCTAGACTGGTTCATTCATTCACATTTCCTTACTCAGGGTACCCCATAGGTTATCAAGGTTTAATCTCGGGAATTTGGGACTTACTCTTGAAGCCTCTGATACCAAGTGTGAAAAGTTCACTTTGGCAGTTAATTGTCCTAGTTGACACCTTGTAGTCGTAAAATCTTCTTCCACATAAGGAGAAAGCAACAACACCCATCCATCAAATTTTGATCAAACATGCCACAGAACCCCAACGCACAGATCTCAACTCCCTTTTCTGGTCCAAGTTTTATAACACATTCCTTAAGATCAATCAAGATATTCCTCCCAGTCTTTACACATACCCTGGATATCAAACAATAATTTTAACCATAATCTTACAGGGCTTAAAGCTCATCATCTATCAAACCTTTAGTGATAGCACGAATTGTACATCCGTGGAAGTACAAATGCTGAAAGCACCAGTTAAGTGCTGTGAACCTAAATAAAGATTTTGACCATGATCTTACATCTAGGCTAATAATGTCGACAGAGAACAAAATGGTTGATCTCTCCGAGTGAGAAACATTAATTTTGAAATTTGTTTCCTGCGCAATTGAGGTAATAAAAAATTGGCAAAAAGGTGGCGGGAAATACCTCTGACATTTGCCAGAAACAAATTAAGAATAATTGTATTGGATGCCGTGCCTTTTCACATCGCAAAGTATCAGTCTTTTCAGCTTGGCTTAGTCGCCTCTGAGTCAGAAGGTTGTAGGTTCAGGCCCCATGTTGGAACTTTGAGCTTCTAGTCTTGGCTGACGCTCCAATGCAGCGCTGGGGGTGCGTTGCATTGTTTGAGGTGACGTTCTTTGGAATGAGATGTTAAACCAAGGTCCCACCTACCCACTTAAGTGGATGTTAAGGATCCCATGGCGCTATTCATAAAGATATGGGAGTTTCTCTCTCCTAAATAAAAATTCGATCACTCACTCCATGTCTGTTTGTGGATCACTGCTGTGCACAATTGGCTGTTGAATTTCACCCACGAAATACACTTTATAATAATAATAATCCTTGCATTTGATATAGAGCCTTATCACATCTCCGAGACGTCTCAAAGCGCTTCACAGAATACACTGTAAAGTGAATTGACTGTATATTTTGTGGCCGAAACGCGGCAGCCAATTACTCAGAGCAGTGTCCCACAAACAGACGTGGAGTGAGTGACCACATTATTTATTTATTTACTACTTTGCAGTATAGTCTGTGAAACGCTTTGAGAGGTCCGAATGCCGTGGTCAAGTGCTGTATGAAATGCAAGGCTTGTTTTTCTTTAATACGAATTCTCAAAAAGTGCAAATTTGACGCAAAAGACACACGCGCAGTCACTACACTTCACAGTGTATCCTGCGGGTCGCTTTCCGGGACGAGGCGGAGAGCCACACGCAAAGATTGCTCCACGCGGGCGGTTTGCAGAACTTTATAAAGTCGACGCACAGAACAAAGGACACCTCCTCTCCTCCGCCGTCCACCCCGAAAAACACCCTCGACCCCCAAACAGAAAGGGAGAGAGAGTGCGAGGGGGGGAGGGGGTGGGGTAGAGAGAGAAAGAGAAGGGGTGGAGGGAGGGGATGCTTTGCACCACGGGATAGTTTGCTATGTAGCTGAAGACACACACACACACACACAAGAAAAGAATTGGAAAAGAAGAATAAGAGACGAGAGAGAGAGAGAGACACACAGAGAGAGCCTAAGCCCCGCCCATTTCCGAGAGGAGTTCGTGAGTGTCCGCAGAGGGAGCCGAAGCTCGGGTTCGGCTTCGGGTGCTCGGCGGCCTCGGCTTCGGGTGCTCGGCTATTCGGCGGCCTCGGCTTCGGGTGCCTCGGCTTCGGCGGCCTCGGTTTCGGTGGCCTCGGCTTCGGGGACCTCGGCTTCGGGTGCTCGGCTTCGGCGGCCTCGGCTTCGGGAAGCTCGGCTTCGGCGGCCTCGGCTTCGGGCTCGTGGGTGGCGGTGTGGGGGGGGGGGGTTGCGCGAGCGAGGAGGGCGAGGACGAGGAGGAGGAGGGGAGAGGCGACAGGAGGCATTCGGTTTCGGTCGTGAGCCGCTCGGAAAGAGGGAGGATGGAGGCGAAGGAGATCGGAATGGAGTCGCCTGAAGTGACGACGGTTTCGGTGATGGGGGAAGAGCAGCTCGACATCGCCGAGCAGCTGCCGAACTCGGACGAGGGCGCCTTCGCAGGCAAGTACGGCGGCCGAGCCCAGAGCGAGCGAGAGAGAGACAACCCCCACCCCCACCCCCCCCCTCCTCACACACACACACACACACATCGTGCAGTGAAATGCTAAATACATTCTTTTGCAAATTAAAAAAAAATACACTTCGCAACACATCGGCCGCTGCATTTTTTACAATAAAAAATCGCTGAGGTTTTTTTTTCACCCCTCCCCCCCCCCCCCAAAAAAAATAAAAAGATAAAAGACGAGACATATATTTCGACGGGGGGGGGGGGGGGGCGAGGTGTGTGTGTGTGGGGGGGGGGGGTAAAGCCCCGAGTGTACCCGAACTCGGGCCGAAGAGAATTTCGCAAAGCGAAAGCTGAGATCGTAACTCGTTACGAATGCAATAAAATGCACTTTTGGTGCAACTCCGCTTTCTGTGCATTTTTTTTTCGCGCGCGCGCGCGTGTGTGTGGGTGGGGGGGAATAGTTTTTTTTTGCAATTGAATTCAATTGCATATATATATATACATATATATACACACACATATATATATATATATACATATATATCACAAAAACTCTCCAAAGCAACGCGGCGTTCCCTCGCGCCCCAGCCGTCCCTCAAATAAATGCTGCGATTTTTTTTTGGGGGGGGGGGAACGCTATATATCTATATATATATATATATAGACACAGACACACGCGTGAGATTGTAGTGCGCGCGAAAAAAAAACACAGAAAAAAAAACCGTGCGATTCGAAACGCAAAGGGTGATGCCACTCGTTACCGTGGGGGGGGGGGGGGGTCGGGGTTTTTTTGAGGGGCGGGGGGGGGGGGGGGGAGAATCTGGCATTTCCGAACCCCCGCGGGACGCGGGGAGGAGGCGGGAGGAGAGTTTGCTGCGGGAGCGCGCGGTCGGTCGGGCGGGAGAGCGATTGATTGGGAGTCCGTCCGTCCGTCCGCCCGCCCGCGGCGGCGTTCGAATTTGGAACGCGGGCCCGGATTTGGAACGCGGGCCCGGGAATCCCCCGCCCACCCGCCCTCGAGCCCTCGCGCCGCGGCTCCAGCCCGAGCCGGGGGTTCACGCGCGGCTCGCGCTCGGCTGCACCGCAGGGCCCCGATGCTGCTGCTGCTGCAGGGATTCTCTTTTTTTTCCCCCCGAGCAACAGCAGCACTAACACCACCACCACCACCCGCCGCCGCCGGAGCTGTCACCCCCCGATAACAGCAGCAGCTGCTGCATACAGTGGTTGGTCATTGGCATTGGCTCTCCCTTTGCCAGGGTCAGACAGTCACTGGGCAGCGGGGGGGGGGGGGGGGGCAGAGGGAGTCATCCCACTCAGCAAACCGCAGCCCTAAGGGGGAGGGTGGTCCCAGCCGGACATGCAGGGATCTCCCCGCCAAGCTGTGCGGCTTTAACAACAACAACAAGATTCCATTTACAGAGCGCCTTTCACGTCGGGAGGACGTCCCGAGGCGCTGTACAGTTGGGTCAGGACCCGAGCATTGGGGGGAAATGGTCAGGGTGAGGGGAGGGAAGGGAGGGAGCGAGGAGGGGTAGAGAGTCGAGAGGGGAGCTGAAGCCACGGTCAAAGAGAAAGGTCTTGAGACCGACCTTGAAGGAGGAAAGGGAGGAGGCGGCGAAGGCACTGGGGGATGGAGTTCCAGAGTCTGGGGGCTGAGAGGCTGAAGGCCCGGCCACCGATGGTAGGGCGGTTGGGGCGGGGGACATGGAGCAGACCGGAGCCAGAGGAACGGAGGGTACGGGCAGGTAGGTAGGGGGGTAGTAGGTCGGAGAGGTAGGAGGGAGCGAGGCCGTGAATGGCCTTGTAGGTGAGGATGAGGATCTTGAAATCGATCCTCTGGAAATTTTAGCTGGGTAGACTCTGGCAGTTACCCCGACGCACACTCTGGGGATGTGCCTCCCCCCAATCCCCAAGCCTTGGCTCTTGCCAACCTGCGTCTAATACTTTCCGGAATTAGGTGAGCAGGATGCCTCTCTCCAGGGAGAGAGAGAGGTCGCATTCCATTCCGACGACCTATCTCTTGGGATTTGCACGTGTAGCCGGGAGGCATTGAAACGTTGAAACCTCAGCTTGGTTTGGAGAGTCTTTCAACGTGGGGTTGGGTTTCCAGGAGTGTCAGACACCCGGCTGATTGCCCCCCACCCGCCACTCCCCCCACCCACCAAGTGCCCACTCCTGGTTGGCAGCCTGCAAAGGGCGAGGCAAAGGCGGCCTCGTAACGGAGCTTTGAACTTCATGCACACATAACATACATCCTGGAAAAGTCGCGTGCATCCTGGAAAGTAAAAACCTAAATGGGGGTAGATGAGCAAAAGGACCGAAGGGTACACAAACACAATTCACCGAAAGTAGCAACACAGGTTAATAAGGCCATAAAAAAGGCAAACCAGGCATTGGGGTTCATTTCTAGAGGGATAGAAATGAAAAGCTGAGTAAACCTCTATAGAACCTCGGTTAGACCACACTTAGGATACTGTGTGCAGTTCTGGTCCCCACATTATAGAAGGGACGCAGAGACACTGGAGAGGGTGCAAAGGAGATTCACAAGGATGATCCCAGAACTGAGAGGTTATATCTATCAGGAAAGGCTGAACATGCTTGGACTCTTCTCTTGAAAAGAGGAGGGTAAGGGGTGACCTGATAGAGGTCTTTAAAATTATGAAAGGTTTTGATAGGGTAGACGCAGGGAAGGTGTTTCTACTTGTGGGGGAGACCAAAACCAGGGGCCATCAATATAAAATAGTCCCAAATAGATCAAATAGGGAAGTTAGAAGAAATTTCTTCACACAGAGAGTAGTGGGAATGTGGAACATCCTGAACCACACGGAGTTGTTGAGGCAAATAGCATAAATGTATTTAAGGGAAAGCTAGATAGGTACATGAGGGAGAAAGAATAAAAGGTTATGCTTGAAGGCTTGGATCGGGAGGAGGTTCATGTGGAGCACAAACACGGGAATAGACCAGTTGGGCCGAATGGCCTGTTTCTGTGCTGTATATTCTGATGTATTCACACAAGCACACAGGCCCGTTGGTGGCCAGTCCTTTCTTTAGTTGGCCAACAAAATCATCAACCCTAGAGATAACAAAATAGCATATTGCCATACCTCAAGAAATGCTCAATCTAGAAACAATTGTTGGTCAACCGTTGTTCATCAATTTCTTGATTTATGGCATAAATCTGTACTATTTTGTTTATCTCTATGATTGATTACTTTGTTGGAGATTCATCTTGTCAATCTCCTTTGCACCCTCTCCAGTGCCGCTTCATCCCTTCTATAATGTGGGGAGGTTGGCCACCACGAACGGACGGACCTAGGCCATACTGTACCAGCCTCAGAATACCTCCACGTCCCTTATAAAGGCAGAGAACACAGGCAACAGAGTTACAAGATGCAATGTTTAGAACCGGCATCAGGAAGCTTGTCTTTACACACATGGTCAACAAGGAGATCAGGTTACCAAGCAGAATGGTTGTAGCATAATGGGAATAAATAAGAATAATCCTTGCATTTGATATTGTGCCTTATCACATCAACAAGATGTCTCAAAGCGCTTCATAGGATATACTGTAAAGTGGAGTTGTATTTTGAGGGTGAAACGTGGCAGTCAGTTTGTGCACAGCAAATTCCCACAAACAACCATGGAGTGAAAGTGAGCAATTTTATTTTGGGGGAAGATGGTAGGTTGGGTATTCTGGAAAGATGAGATCAGACAGGCCACGGAGCCTTCGACACGCAGACCAACCTGGTTATTTTTCATCTGAAGATAAAGGTGAGCAGGTTAGTTGATAACGAACAACAATATAATCCTTCCATTTGATACAGTGCCTTTATAATAATAATAATAATCCTTGCATTTGATATAGCGCTTTTCACGTCGGGAGGACGTCCCAAAGCGCTTCACAGAATACACTGTAAAGTGAGTTGACTGTATATTTGTGGGCGAACGCGGCAGCCAATTGCGCACAGCAATGTCCCACAAACAGTCGTAGATTGAAAATGACCAATTTATAATTGTTTTGGGTTTTTGGAGGGATTATTATTAGGCTCTGTGTGGAGTAAGGAAACTTGCCCAAGGTTTCGCCCTCTGCCTGGAATTGAACTCAGGTCTCTCGCTTGCAAAGCGAGTGCTCTAACCACTGAGCTACAGGACTCCGCTTTCATGTCGGGGGAACGTTTCAAAGTGCTTCACAGCATGTATTGTAAAGTGCAGTGACTGTTTTTCTAGGCGAACCCACCAGCCAATTTGCACACAGTAATGTCTCACAAATAGCTATGAAGTGAATGAGCACTTTTATTTGGGGGATTGTTGGCCAAGACACCCGGTGGAGACTCCCTTCTCTTTTTATGTAGTGCCATGGGATCTTTAAAGTCCACCTGAAGAGGCAGGTGGTTAACATCTCACCTGAAAAACGGCACCTGCAAGAATGCAGCATACCCCCAACATCGCATTGAAGCTTCAACCTAGACTATATGAGTTCCAAGTCCTGACATGTGGCTTGAACCCCCAACCTAGTGACTTAGAGACGACAGTGCTATCAACTGAGCCAGGATGAGCTTTATAATGGATCGAGCGGCACAGTGCAGCCGTGATCAGTGAAAATAGTAATAGGAAAATGAATCATAGGAATTGCTGGACAAAAAAAGTCCAAGGTCCATTTACCTTGCCTTCTACCATCCTGGTAGGCACATGCTACAATGATGGAGGTGTTAATAGCAATTAATTCTGTGTGAATTAGTCTACAACAGAGTGGAAAACTTTGGGAACCTTAGATCCAAATTTGCCTGGTTCTTCCAAGCACACTACGCTTTACTATATATCATGTCGTAAATTACTCATATACTGTATCCCAAAATGTTATTTTCCAAAAGAAATCACTATGGAATGAAACGGCCCCGGGATCTTTGCAGCGGACATTACAGTAAAGTGCAGTACAATTGAGATGTTTTACTTTGCTGGCGAAAGAGGACTAAGTGCCCGTGTGCTTTGTGTTGCAGAAGTGACAACGGTGACGGTGGGAAACATGACAGCAGCAGACAATGTCTTCACGACATCAGTGGCCAACGCCTCTATTTCCGAGCACGTGCTGGTGAGTGCTCGCTGTTACACACAACGTGTTTCGGCCACTTGGCGTCTTAGGAGAAAATAAGTTTCACCGAAGCCTGGAATTTCCCACCGCCTTAGCCAGACCTGGCACCCTTCACCTTGGCCTGAGAAATTTGCGCGGAAAAGCTTAAACAGTGGCAGACTAACTATTGCTGAATTTCCACATCACGGTTAAACATACACAGTCCATATATGATCAAAGTTCAGTCCTTTAATCTGCGTTTGATTCTTTTGTTAAAGGTTATAGCAGCATAGTCGATAATAACCATAATAATCCTTACATTTGATGCCTTGCTACCTTTCATGTCACGAGGGCATCTCAAAGCGCTTCACAGGATTTACCATAAATTGTAGCGACTGATTTGGTAGGCGGAATCGCAGGAGCCAATTTTGCATACGGCCATGAAGTGAATGAGTAATTGTATCCGGGGGATCCTTTGGCCAGGACACAGTTTGTGTAATTCAGATTGGGGATAATTTTATTACAAGCTCATGGGTGGTGGGGAGGGAGGGAAAGAGAGAGAGAGGACAGCTTTCGTCCCCTCGCACACTGCGCTGTGCCGAGTGAGTGACTGGGATGGATTCCGTCGGATCAATGAGTCAACAACAACAACAAGAAGTTACATTTGTATAGCGTCTGGGGGAAGGACATCCCAAGGAGCTGGACAGTCAGGGATTTGGACCTGAGCACTCTCCGCTCCCTCCCTCCCTCCCTCCCAGCAACTATCATGTGAGGGTATCAGGAGTCCCATCAGAGGCAGGGAACAGGCCTCAGTGATGGGGATGGGGGAGGGGTTCCAACTGAAAGTCATGAAATGGGAAGCTTTGGGAAGTCTTGCTGTTATTCACGGCATCAAATGCCCTCAGGGATGAAGATTCAGGATTGTGGTTCGTTCTCTTTGGCTCTTTGCAGTCTGGACGAACGACTCTTCAGATTGGAGAAGGCCTCCCCACAGACAAGGCCACCCTGATCGTGGTCCACACGGACGGCAGCATCGTAGAAACGACTGGCTTAAAGGCCCCGAGCACCCCAGTGACTCCAGGTAAAGGGGAATAGATTCCCTCTGTCTTAATAGCCTGGCGCCACCTAGAAGGGAACCCCGAAAATTACAGCACCACGTTCTGAGGCGCAGGTGATGTCTCTAATAATAATAATAATCCTTGCATTGGATACAGCGCCTTATCACGTCTTTGAGTCGTCTCAAAGAATATACTGTAAAGTGAATTGATTGTCTCTGGACATTAATAATAAAATAATAATATATAATCCGCCACTGTCAAGTGTGCTGGCAAGCTATCCTGCGTGAGGGGGCTATATAAATACAAGTTGTTGTTGTATTCTATTGCCTTCATGTGTCTCGACGAGTTCTGTCAGTAATAATAATAATCCTTGCATTTGATATAGTGCTTTATCGCATTGTTGAGATGTCTCAAAACGCTCAAAGGATATATTGTAAATTGGATTGACTGTGTACTTTGTGGGCGAAACGTGGCATCCAATTGCACACGGCAGTGTCCCACAAAGAGTCGTAAATTGAGTAACCATATATTTTTTGTGAAGGAGTATTAAGTTGATCGAGGGTTGGGGGGAGAGATCTCTGGCTGTTTTTTTAAAACGCCTTCCTAAACTAGAAGGGGTGGGGTGGGTGCCATGCCCTGAGAGAGAGAAACTCTTAACACTGTACAAAACGTTCCTCTCCAAGCCTGTTCTGCTCCTCTTTTGACCCCAGGCCCGCAGACCCCTTCGACTCCTCTGACTCTGGGGCCAGAGAAAGACGGGACCAAGTACCACTGGGATCCGTCGGTGTATGAGAACGAGCTCCCGGTCAGGTGCCGGAACATCAGTGGAATTCTGTACAAAAACAAGCTCGGCTCAGGTAAGGACCTCCAGCCCAAACCTCAAGGGACCAGTCACTGGGGGCAGGAAATCCTCCCACTCAGCTCCTATTAACCCTGCAAGCCAAAGCCCTAATAGGTAGAGTGGTCCTAGCTAACGGCAAAGTTTGCCAGGACAGCGATATCAATGGCAAGTTATGTGCAATTTTAGCTGGTTAGAATCCAGCAGTTACCCAAACGCACACTCTGCACCTAATACAACAACAACAAAATTACATTTACAGAGCGCCTTTCATGTCGGGACGACGTCCCAAAGCGCTGAACAGTCAGGTGTCGGGGCCCGAGCATGAGGAAGGAGTGGTATAGGGGTGAGGGAAAGCAGAGAGGTGGGAGGGAGACCAAAGGCACGGTCTAAGAGAAGGGTCTTGAGACCGGCCTTGAAGGAGGCAAGGGAGGAAGCGAGGCGAAGGGACTGTGGGATGGAGTTCCAGAGTGTGGGGTCAGAGAAGCTGAAAGCTCGGCCACCGATGGTAGGGCGGGTCGGGCGGGTGAGAAACATGGAGCAGGCCGAAGCCCCCTGAACGGAGGGAGCGGGCAGGTTCGTAGGGAGTCAGCAGGTCAGAGAGGTAGGAGGGGGCAAGGCCATGGATGGCCTTAAAGGTGAAGACAAGGATCTTGAACTCGATCCTCTGGGGAATGGGGAGCCAGTGGAGTCGGGCGAGGGTGGGAGTGATGGGGCCATGTAGCCTGGTGCATGAGAGTACACGAGCTGCAGAATTTTAGATGATCTGCAGCTTGTGAAGGGAAGAGTTGGGAAATGCATGGGTGAGGGTTTGGGCAGCCTGAGGGGTGAGGCAGTGGTGGAGTCTGGCAATGTTGCGGAGGTGGTGGTAGGCAGTGCCGGTCATGGCGCGGATGTGGGGGAGAAAGGACAGTTCAGGGTCAAACAAGACACCCAGGTTCCTGACTGGCTTAGTGAGGTTGAGTGTGCAGCAATGGAGGCTGATGTTGCCAGTGCCTGAAATGCGGAGGCGCTGGCGCGAGCCAATCAGGAGGGCCTCAGTCTTGCTGACATTGAGTTGGAGAAAGTTGGCCCTCGTCCAGGACTTGAAGTTGGACAGGCAGTCGGTCAGGACGCCACTTGTCCTGGAATAAGGGTGGAGGCAGAGGTAGATTTGGGTGTCATCCACATACGTGCGGAAATTTACCCCACGTCTGCGGATGACGTCACCAAGGGGGAGCATGTAGAGGGTGAAGAGGAATTGGGTAAGCAGGCTGCGTGAAAGTGAAAGGAACCTACGGGGATTGTTGTCAGGCATGAGTGGGTAAAGCTATCCAGGAAATGTTTGGCTTTGACCCCACATGCTTTCCTTCCCCTTTTTAAACACAGATTCCGAAGACGCGGCTAAAGTCATCATGAGCTGACCTGCCTGGCAGCAGTACTTTCACTCTGACACTAGAGGACACCAGTGTTGTATGCAAAGACACTGTCCTTTTCTCCCTCAGTGCAGTTTAGCTACAAGAAGTTTTCACTCCCAGCTGAGCCAGGCTGACACCAATTGTTTTTTTGACAGCGGCTAAAATCTTGTGCGATTTCTTTGCAGGAGGCCGTGGGCGATGCATTAAGAACGGGGAAACGTGGTTTACGCCCACAGAGTTCGAAGGTATAGCCGGGAGAGCCAGCAGCAAAGACTGGAAGAGAAGCATACGATATGCAGGGAGACCTTTACAGTGTCTGATCCAAGTAAGACCTTTTCATCGTCCTTCCTGAAACAACAACAACTTGCATTTATAAAGCGCCCTTCACGGCAGACAGTGCCTTGGAGCGTCATTGATAGAGACAGCGATCAGTAATTCTAATCGCTTATATATCTTTAACTGCCAAATTTTCTCCATTAATTATTATAATAAAAATCCTGACCATTTATAACATTGACGTGCTTCACAATACAAACCAATGCATTTGTACAGCGCCTATCACGTTGGGAGGACGTCCCAAGGCTTACCAATTACCGGCTTGGCACCCGAGCTGGGGGTGGAGAGGGGAAAGGTGACCGATGGTGGGGCAGGCTCAAGGGACCGAATGGCCTACTCCTGCTCCTATTCTTATGTTCTTACGAAAACAAGATCAGAGAGGTTGGTCTTGACGGACCTTGAATGAGTAGAGGGAGGGAGCAAGTCAGAAGGACTCCGGGATTGTGTTCCAGAGAGCGGAATTCACGGAGTTTTCTATAAACTGTAGTGACTGTGTACGTTTTAGGGGAACACGGCAGGCAGGCATTTAAATGGACCGAGATCCCACAAACAGCAAGGATGTGACTTGCCGGTTTTATCTGGAGGATTGTCGGCTACGAGAAACTTACGATTCTTTTCAAATAGTCCTGCGGGATCTTTAATGGACAGCGATGAATTTGATCCTAATCCTAATTGGCCTGTTGTTACACCTACTGTACACCTATTATGAATATTATAATATCATAATATTATTAGTTACTTTATAGAGGAATAAATGGGCTGCATCATTGGATAGTGTAATACTCGGAACAAAATTACACTGCTGCCTTATCTACACTCTTGATTAATCAAAGCATATATATCCTGAATTGATTTGGTAGTTAATCTTTATGACAAATGACTTCCGTGCTACCCAGTGACGATTGGAAATATACTTGAACAAACAGATCGTATCGTTCGGGGATAAGTGTGGCACAGTGTACATTGGGTCAGCCGCTCAGAGAATAATAATTAAACACAATTTGGTACAGAACCTTTCACGTCGGGAGGAAGTCTCAAAGCGCTTCACAGGATTTACTGTAAAGTGTAGTGACGGTGTGTTTTGTGGGCAAGTGATATCTCGCAATGGTGCCCGGTTCAAGCCTCTTTTGCCCTTTTTGTAAGGAGCAGGCCGGGATAGTGAGCTGACCTCTCACTCTCATCAGACGCGGCTGATCATTCAAAATCACTCAAGATCATTTACAGCACACAAGAGATTTTGCCCATTGCACATGTTATGGTTTTCAGAAAGATTTCTTTTCCACTCTCTCCCCACCAGCCCCCCACCACCATCGCACACAGACCATTTTATATTATTCTTTTTAAAATATTTATGTAATTCTCTCTTAAAAGCGAATGACTTACTAACCCACTGACTAACTAATATTACATCAGCCGCTCCAGATTTTCAAAACCTCTTGAGGGATTTTGTTTGTGTAAGTTGACCGGTGACACGCAATGTTACGTTCCTCACTGCTTTACCGACATTGTTTAACAAACGTTGCCGAGAGACAACAACAACACAACAACAAAATTACATTTACAGAGCGCCTTTCACGTCGGGAGGACGTCCCAAAGCGCTGAACAGTCAGGTGTCGGGGCCCGAGCATGGGGGAGAGGTGGTGTAGGGGTGAGGGAAGGCAGAGAGGTGGGAGGGCGACCGAAGGCACGGTCGAAGAGAAGGGTCTTGAGACCGGCCTTGAAGGAGGCAAGGGAGGAGCGAGGCGAAGGGACCGTGGGATAGAGTTCCGGAGTGTGGGGGCAGAGAGGCTGAAAGCCCGGCCACCGATGGTAGGGCGGGTCGGGCGGGAGACATGGAGCAGACCGGAGCCTGAGAGCTTGAAAGCCGAGCAACCCCCACTTCCCCACACCCCCCACCCCCACTTCCCCACACCACCCCCCACCCCCGGTCTATTTTACTTTCTGTTACCGATGAAAGAAAAACCAACATTTCCGTCAATGTAAAACCTGTGCCAAATGCACAACGGAGCCCTTGAGCGGAGCTGGTGTGCAAAAGGTGAAATTTAATGTGCTCTCTGTGTTCTGCAGGACGGAATCCTGAATCCCCACGCAGCTTCCTGTACCTGTGCCGCCTGCTGTGACGACATGTCTCTGGTGAGTTCCTCATGGTCAGCTTATGCCTCCACTGGAGTGCTGTACGTGCTCTAATGGTGTTGTGTAGGAGGATCTTTGACATCCACCTGAACAGGTGGACAGCATCTCGGTTTAACGTCTCATCTGAAGGACGCAATGTCAATGTGTCACATTGCATAGTCGCAGTGAATTACTGTTACACCTTCTGTGGGGTATCGAGTTTCTCTTCACGTTGCTTTGGGAGGGACGGACCGGGTTGGGGGAGGCGGGGGCCTGGTATAGTCAGGGCCCAGAAGCCGAGCGGGTCAGTCTAGGAGGCCACGAATCCCTTGTAACTCGCGTTTGTGTCCATTTCTGGGCTTGGCCGACAGGTGGAGCGTCTCACCATAGCGGTGCTCTCCAAATCGGGGGGATGGGAGAGGGCAAAACTGAGCTTGCCAGGCTCGGCCCACTGCAGTGCACCTACAGGCAGCCAGTCTCGGGGAGACACTGTCAACAGCTGCGGAGAAGTCTGCGGCGTCGACCTCCCGGCTGAGGGCACCTGGGTGAAGGTGAGCGGCCGTGGACAGTGGGGCTACACCACCACCACCAACAGCAACAACTTTCATTTGTATAGCGCCCTTCATGCTGGGTAGAGTCCCGGAGCACTAGATTGGGAGGGGGAGAGGGAGAGAGAAGGGTCTTTTTATAATAACTATAATAATGAACCTTGCGTTCTATGTTGTGTTCTATTACCTGTGCCCCGACCAGTTGTGATATCTTGAAACCATAACGAATGTGAGTGTGTGCATGCGTGTGTGCGTGTGTGTGGAGGTGGCTTTTAAGTGTCCTGCCCTTTGTGCTTGTGCTAAAGGAGGACGGCAAACGAGTGACGGGCGCTTTCGTTCTCTCTGCACAGACCGGACCCGTCAGGCTGTTTGTGCCATACAAACGGCGCAAGAAGGAGAACGAGCAGACGGTCACCCCGGTCAAGAAAGAATCGCCGAAGAACATCACCCTGCTCCCGGCCACACCAGGCACCACATGTACGTGGCACTCTGTTACACCGTACAAAATTATACTTACACAACACCTTTCACGTTGGGAGGACATCCCGAGATGCTGGACAGTCAGGGATTTGGAACCAAGTTGGTGGGGGGGGGGGATCAGGGAGGGTAGGAGGGTAGGCAAAGGCGCGGTTGAAGAGGAGGGTCTTGAGATGTGCCTTGAAGGGAGCAAGGGATTATTAATAGTTATTATTATTAATAATCCTTGCATTTGATATAGAGCCTTATCACGTTGTCATTGAAACGTCTGAAAGCGCTTCACAGAATATACTGTGAAGTGAATTGACTGTGTATTTTTGTTGCCGAATCGCGGCAGCCAATTTACAGAGATGCCCCCCAAACAGCCATGGAGCGAGGGACCAAATTTTACTTTTGCCCGCGTCTTTGGTAATCTACCCCCCCACCCCCTGTCCCCTTCACCCCCCCACCCCCATCCCCACGGCTCAGGTGCCCAGCCGGGGGTGTCGAGCACTTTGAGACGGCTTCCTGATGTGAAGTGCGTCCAGTAAAAGTAAATTGTATTGTACAGTGCAATCCAGCTATCCTCCAGGGCGCTGTATAAATATTGTTGTTTATAATGCAGCAAGACCGACTCACTGCTGCGCTCAGCCCGCTAGTACACTCGCTCACAGTTTCTCAGTCCATTTGTCAGCGCCTTGGGACGTCCTCCCGACGTGAAAGGCGCTATACAAATGTAATCTTGTTGTTGTTGTTGTGGACCATATTAGTGACTTATAGTGACTTGCATCACAGTCTCTGATATCTGGCTAGAACGAGACTCTGTGTGCGCTGGGCTGTGGAGCAATTAAGATGAGTTTCGGGGAGCAAATATTGACACGGCTCCACTTAGTTTCGGCGTCGCTTAATCAGTCCTTATGTTTGATAGCGGGTTTGTTTATTGGTTACACAGCGGAGGCCAGAACAGTGCAACCATCGTCCCACAAACAGCAAGGAATTGAATAACCGATTTTACCAGAGGGGAGGGGTGGGGAGGAATTGTCGGGCAGGACACCAGGAGAGAGACTCCTCTGGTGCTTCGATGTGATGCGGGGGACAGAATCTTTTGCTTGACAATAACAACAACAACAACTTGTCCTCCTCCCTTGGGGAGGACAAGCTTGCAGAGCTTTGGGGAGAACGCGGGGGGTGAGTGGGATTGAATTGGATAGCTCTTTTAAGAGAGTCGGCACACAGACATGATGGACCGAATGGCCTCCTTCTGTGCTGTACAATTTTATGAACAACAACAATAAATTGTATTTATATCGAGCATTTCACGTCGAGACGACAACCCGAGGGGCTGGGGCCTTATATAAAGTCCCCCAGACCTAATCTGAGTTGTCTTCATTCTGTCCTGACTTTTTGGTGTTGGCTGGAAGCGGGAAAGTTACGGTAAACGTTAAACTCTGTGCATGTGCCGTCTGCAGTTACAATGACACCAGCCGGACAGATCACTGGCTCCGCGGCCCTGACATTTGACCGCAGCTCCTCGGGGGACACCACAGCCATCATCTCCAACAGCACAGCCCCAGGAGACGTCTTCACCGGAACCACAGGTAAGCCGTGCACAACTCCCTCTCCTCTCGCTCGCTCGCTCCCTCTCTCTCACTCCCTCTGTCTCTATCTATCTCCCCACCCCCCTCTCACTCTTCTCTCTCTCTCTCTCTCTCTCTCTCTCGCCCCCCTCCCCATCTCACCCTCTCGCTCTCTTCCTCTCTCTCTCTTTCTCCCTCTCTCCATCTCCCCCTCTCTCTCCTCCTCTCTCTAAGTCCCTCTCTATCTCTCCCTCCCTCTCGCTCCATCATCCTCCCTTTCAGTCCCTCTCTCACACCCTCTCTCTCTCTCTCCCTCTGGCGCTCTCTCTCTCCCTCTCTCTCTCACACCCTCCGCCTCTCTCCCTCTCTCTTGATCCCTCTCTCTCACTCCGTCTCACACTGTCTCTCTCCCCCTCTCTCTCTGATCTCCTCCCGCCTGCCACCCTCCGCTCAGCAAACTCAGGCTTGGTGCTTGTCACTTGCTCTGACCACACCAACCATCATTGGCCTGAGCCTTGGGTCCTACCCTGCTAATAACAACAACAGCGTACATTTATATAGTGCCCTACACACAGGGTAGCGTCCCCGAGCGCTTAATAACCAGCAGCTTATAAACTGTGTAGAGCCGGGCTTGGAGCACACAGCAACACTGCGCCATCTCTCTGTCTCTGTGTCTCTCTCTCTCTCTCTCTCTCTCGGGGAAGTTGGAAACTGTGAAGTAACTGCGTTAAACCCTGTGTCTGTGCCGTCTGCAGTTACAATGACACCAGCCGGACAGATCACTGGCTCCGCGGCCCTGACATTTGACCGCAGCTCCTCGGGGGACACCACAACCATCATCTCCAACAGCACAGCCCCAGGAGACGTCTTCACCGGAACCACAGGTAAGCCGTGCACAACTCCCTCTCCTCTCGCTCCCTCTCTCTTGCTTCCTCTCTTGCTCCCCCCTCCTCTCTCTCACTCCCTCTCTCTTACTCTGTCTTTCCCCCTCTCTCTCTCTCTGATCTCCTCCTGCCTGCCACCCTCCGCTCAGCAAACCCAGGCTTGGTGCTTGTCACCTGCTTTGACCACACCAACCATCGTTGGCCTGAGCCTTGGATCCTACGCTGCTAATAACAACAACAGCGTACATTTATATAGTGCCTTACACTGCACCATCTCTCTCTCTCTCTCTCTTGGGGGTGGTTGGAAACTATGTGAAGTAACTGCGTTGACAGCAACTCTTCCCCCCACCCTCCCTCCACCCTGCAGTGTTGGCGTCGCTGCCCGCCCTGGGTGTGCCAACGCCCTGCACCCCAACCAAAGCCCCGTCGCCTGGGACCCTGAACGGCCTGGAGGTGGCCGAGGGCCGCAGCTGGCTGTACCTGGAGGAGACGGCCAACTCGCTGATGGCCATGGCCCAGCAGCTGAAGACCTTGATCGAGCAGGTGAAGCAGGCCAGCGCGGCCTTCCGGGAGGCTGCTGTCTCTCAGGCCAAGATACAGGCGGAGACGGAGAGGAAAGAGGCGAGTGGAGGAGGGTCGGGGGAGAGGAAGGGTCCAGGCAGGGCAGCGTTTGGGGGAGGGGGGCGTCAGGGGAGAAACGCAACAGAAAACAAAATAGGCTCTTGGTAATGTCAGCGTAAACACTGCCTTTCCCCGTGGCTCAGACTCAAGGCAAAGCCCTAATTTCCTCTCCGATTTGTCCTCCAGACAGTAGCAGATCTCAAAGGGGTTTGAGGAGGAATTTCTTCGCGCAGAGGGTGTGGAGCTCACTGACGGAATCTGTGTTTGAAGCTTCACGAGAAAACTTGATGGCACGCCCGAGGGAGTGGGAAGGGGGATAGGCAGGGTGGGAACGTCTGAAAGTGCTTCACAGGGTTTTCTGTGAACTGTAGTGACTGTGTGTTTTGCGGAGCCTGGCGAGGGGGTAGAGGAGGATAGTTTGGGCGAGTCTGAGGGTGGCGGAGTTCTGAGACAGCAGACTTCAGGGTTCGGCTTAAAACAAGTAATATCGACTGTTTGTGGCGTTTTATCTGCTCTTCAGAATCTCAACCAATACCAGAATCAAATGCCCCTTCACCAGGGAGAGGACGCGGATGGGAAAACTGAGATCATCATCAAAGTGAGTGGGGGAGGGTGAGGGAGGGGTGGAGGGTGAGGGAGTTAGTTTTGACCAGATGTTTAAAAAAAAAGACTTGTGAATAACAGCTCTTTTTTACACTCCCTCTCCCTCTCTTTCTCTCCGTTATCATCCCTCGTTTCCCCCTCCCTCTAACTCTCTCTCCGCCCACCCTCTAACCCTCTTTCCCCTCTCCCTCTAACCCTTTCGCCCGCCCTCCCTCTATCCCTCTCTCTCTCTCTCTCTTCCCCACAACAATTTATAGCAAACATGTATAAACTGTGGGCGAGAGGCGATGAACGAGTGCACGGGCTGCCACAAGGTTCATTACTGCTCCACGTTCTGCCAGCGCAAGGTGAGCGAGAGCGTGGTCTTCAGGGGAGGCAGCGCCCCCCCTAGGGTCAAGAGGGGAGACTTTTGATAGCGTTCCCGTTCCTGAGCATTAAACGTACAAAAGGCCCAGTTTGGTAAATCCCACGAAGCGCGTTTGAGACGTCTCGACGCCCGACGTTGATTTAAGGCGCCGTATCCAATTGCAAGCACTCTTATCGTAATTCATGATTATCCGGCCGTTTTGGACAAGGTGTTGCATTTCTCGCTTTGCTCTGTCGCTTTCCCTCGCAGGACTGGAAAGACCACCAGCACATGTGCGGGCAGCCCACCACGCTCACAGTGCAGGCCGAGGACGTCCAGGTCACGGAAGTCGATCTTGAAAAGGTCAAGGTTTAAACCCTTCCTGCCACCCACCAGACTCTATTTTTTTGAGCCTTTTTTTTTGGAGACAATTTGAGGGAGCGCTTGGATTCAGTATTCAGCGAGGCTCCCGCTGAGCTCGGGGTGTGACACGACAATCCTTCGCTCTGCGCTCTGAACTATTTGGGTTGTCGGACCTGCCTTCCTGTGGATGGGACGTTAAACTGAGGTCTGATCCCCCTGTTTCAGATGGACATTAAAGATCCCGCAACATAATTGGAAAAGAGAAGGGAATTTCCTTTTTTTTTAATCAGGGAGAAGAAGAAAGTATTTTTTTGTGTGTGAACGCTTCTGTGAAGGAGCCGATTAATTTATAAGGGATCTTCAACGTGCTGGCTTTGTAAAAGGATGAGTGTGCAGGAGCACCCAATCCCTCAGGCGCTGTTAGTCCAGGAAATAAACCAGTTGAAGAGAATTAATTGATCTCTGTGAGATTTTACAGTGGAAATTTCTTTTTTCTGGGAGGGCTAAGGTATTTGGCCCCTGTAAATAAAAACACTTGTAAATAAGAGTATTTCTTGCCTGAACAGGCTTAAAGAGTGGTTTATACGAACGCTAGTGGGAAGATTATATTCCAGATCATGGCATCCTGACCTAAGATCTTATTTCCAACAAGTGTCTTATTGATTGGAGACGGAATTGTGCTTAATTTCACACATTTTTATACGCTTCCTGACAAGTCCCTTATGAAGTGTGAATTTCCTCTCCCACCCTCCATGGAGGCTTTATAATCTTCCCGAGTGCATTTTTCTACGTTTTTTTGGTGTACATTTGATTGTTATTAAGCATGCTTGTTTTACCTTTTCAATAAAAAAAATTTGCTGCTTATGCCGTACCACTGTTTTGGGGACTATTTATGTTTCTCTGCTTTTCGTGTTAACTCTTCACCCAGAGAAACACACGGTCACTGTTACACTTTACAGTAAATCCTGTGAAGCACTTGGAGGGGTCTTGATGTAAAGGCGATGTATGAAACGTAAGGATTATTCTTATTAACCCTTGTGCTCCGGTGTGTTTTCACAGCTACAGTAACTATTGCAGTTTCCCTTCCATTGGTTTGTTTCTTGGACTAACAGTGCTGGGGGGATTGGGGCTCCAGCACACTCAAACCTGCCCCCTCATCCCTTTATGTTCAAGATCCCTTGATGAGATGTTAAACCCCTGTTCATTACATAACTGTTTGTGGGATTGTGGGCTTGGACAATCCCAGGAGAAAATCCCCTCTCATTTCGAACAGGTGCCACGGGATCGTTTAACAACCACCTGACCAGACAGACAGGACCTCGGTTTAATGTCTTATTGAAGGATGGCAGCTCAGACAATACGGTGCTCCCCCCAGGACTGCACTGGAGCCTCAGCCTAGGCTTGAGTTCTCAAAATCCCAATGCGAGGCTCAAACCCACCACATTGTGACTCAGAGGCGAGAGTGTGATGGACTGAGCCGGGGCAGAGCTGACAACTCACTCTATATCACCTGTTGGAACCCAGAGCCATCGCAACCAAACCCTGTCCCAACGTGACAACACCCACAATATAATATGTGCCTTCCAGCAGCGGTGTTTAAATAGCATTCAGGTGCAGGAGCCCTGGCTGATTCGTGCCCTCCTGACCCTGGGCACTGACGCTGATTCTCGTGTGCTCACACCTGACTCAGCGCAGATGTGACTTTGAGGCTGTGATGCGCTGTGGTGCCTTTATCTGTTTGGCCAGTGGGTGGCACCTGTGTTTGTTGGCAGAGCGACAGGATAAATTCTGTTCCAGCTGAATTCTGACAGTGGGGTGAAGTGGGGTTTCCCGTTTCGAGCACAGTTCATTGACCAACAACCCAATCCCCATTGTTTTAACAAGGCTAAAGGCATAGTGCCAGGTATCTGTGCCTTTAATTGGAGTCCTGTAGCTCAGTGGTTAGAGCACTGGCCTCGCAAGCCCAAAACCTTGGGCAAGTTTCCTTACTCCAGACACCTGATAATAACTCCTTAAGAAAAAAAAACAATAATCAGTCACTTCAATCCGTGACTGTTTGTGGGACGCTGCTGTATGCAATTGACTGCCGTGTTTTGTCCACAAATATACAGTCAATTCACTTTACACTATATTCTGTGAAGCGCTTTGAGACGTCTCGAAGACATGAAAAGCACAATAACAAAATGCAAGGATTATTATTATTTATTATTACTTATGCATTTCAGCTCCTTTCAGTATCTTTTTATCCTGCCCCTTTCCAAAGAATGTAAATAAAAGCAATATTAATCTTCTCCCATTGATGTCTGGCCACAAATCTCCCATAACGATAACAATATATAATAATATGTGAGGAGGAGACACATTTCTTTGCCTTAACGTCGGCCAATTGTACAGTCAAACCCTTTGGTTTTCCAGTCATGGTCTAACAGTCACTACACTTTACCATATATTCTGTGAAGTGCTTTGAGACGTCTCTACGACGTATATCAATATCAAGTCCCTGATCCTTAAATGAACGCCAAAGCGCTGCTCTTGCTACTCCTTTAGAGAAAAAAAAATTTTTTCTAAAAAAAAAGAAATCCAAGTTAAACCTCCTGAGTTCTGTGTTTGATGGATTATTGCAGTTGTATTGTTTGCTGTAACCACTGAATCTAAGATAAACCTTGTTCTTCCTGATCGACTGACTGACTCCACAACACATCAATGCCTTCTGTAAGGTAGAACTTAATCTTATACTACAGTTCATTGAGGCTATGCCAGTACATTACTGCAGTGTTTCAGCTTGTGAGTGTTTTAATAAGTTATGCAGAAGCCTTTAAAACAGGTCAATTGACACCTGAGGGAGAAACTTGCTCTCTCTCTCTCTCTCTCTGTTTTTGTACATCCTGGGTGTGAATCTTTGCTCAGTTGCACTAATAACTATACCAATCGCAATTTACCTGCATATTTCCTTGGGCCAAATTTTTTTTAAAAAATTAAAACTCCAGTAAACCCAATCAGCCCCTCACGTTGGAATGCGGTGTCGAAAACATATTGCATTTCTCCTCACACCAGCGTTATAATTATGTCCGTGGGTGGATTAGTCATTTGATCCCTGGTGAGGTCTAATTAACGATCAAACCTGGGCTGTATTTCGCCACCGCACCAGCACATTTGCAACTTTTAATCATTTTTGCCTAGAACCTCCACAGTCACTACACGTTACAGTAAATCCCGTGAAGCGCTTTGAGATGTTCCCCCCACCCCAAATCTACTTCGAGTGCAAACTATCCCAAGAGAACGCCGCAGTTTGCAGGGATTTATGGCATCAAAGCCATGAACCTAACCATTCTCATTCCTGACTGGAAATGCACCAGCATTGGTCACAATGTACAATGTGGAAGTACGTATAACAATCCTTGCATTCGGTGCAGTGCCTTTTCATGTCGCAAAGAAGTCTCAAAGTGCTTCACAGGAATTACTGTGAAATGGAGTCGCTTGTGTGTTTGTAGGTGAAACACGGCTGCACGATCGTGCACATTCCACAAACTGCCACGGAGTGAGTGTGTGACTAGAAACCGTTCCCTCCTCCTCTAGGTTTGGCGGTAACAACACTGTGAATGTCCAAAGAGCTCTATTTAAACCCTTTCTTGAGGATTCAGAGTCGATTTTAGGAGAGAAGTAAATTGAGTGTTTCCCGGCTTCTTCGTTACTGATCAGATTAAGGAATTCTTTCAAGGGCATCTTCTGCATAAGAAATCAAAGCTGTAAGAGAGTCTGAGGGTTCGGAGAACTCACTAATTCCTGTGGCTTTTTAAAAAAAATGCAAATTGGTATAAAACATTATGAAGGTCATGTCTCCATTTAATAATACTTTGGATTTTAATTGTGTGCTTTAAACCTTTACACCGTTGGATTAGAAGCAGCAAAGAATTCCCCCAACCACTGTGCAAGCTGAAGCAGCTCATGCCTGTTGTTTTCCGTGTTTCACTGTTGTCGAGCCATTACTGAAATCACCCAGGGGTTTAGTGAAATGATGGCTCCTGGATGTCAGTCTCGCTTCGATCACTCGCAAATAACTGGGTAGATTAAATAGATGTTCGTTAAGAACGCTGTAAATAGTTTTAACCAAACTTGCATGGAATCGTTGCCCCTAAACTAGGACACCATCACTAGTTGCTCGAAACGTTACCTAATTTAGCAACAGAGGGTTAAATTTGCGGCACTTAAAAACAATTCATTTTAAGACGGCACAAAATACATCTCTCTCTCTCCGAATAATCAAAAGAATTTTTAAATCACCTTTTAAAAAAGAATCCCTTGCCCTTCGAAACACGACTCTTGTAAGTTGCAGTAATGTAAACGCACCTGTGGCGGGTTCTGTTTATACCACACGTTAAACTAATGTGGAAAAAAAATTGTATTCAATCTGAATTGTAAAGAGTGTTATGAACAGGACCTGGAAGGTTTCATCCCTGTTTTCTTTCTGTTCTGACATTGTCTCCGGGAAAAACGACTTGAAGACGATCTCCAGGTTTTTTGTTTCATTCGGAACCCGGGCATCACTGAACCTCCTTATCTTAAAATCCCTGTGCGTGGGTGGCAGAACACCGGTGACGAAACTCAATCGGGAGTCACGCTGATGGGTTTCTGCACATGTCAAGAAGCTCACCCGGCTGACCGAAAAAAAGCCGTGTGTAAGCTCGTTGAGGCATCCTCCTGATGTGAAGATACTCTGTCCGATACGCGGATGATTACTCTTAAGAGCCCCCGCTTGTTCGAGTCCAGTTCCTTACTGAGGAACACTAATAAGAAATATTTAACAAACACTTCATTTTAGGCCGTATGGGTTTCATTACTTGCTCTACTGCTGGATAATTCAGCTAGATAACTATTTGGGGAGAAATAAGTTTGCAGGGCAATGGGGAGAGAGCAGGGGATTGGGATTGATTGGGGTAGCTCTTTTCAAAGAGCCGGCACAGACACAATGGGCCGGATGGCCTCCTTCTTTGCTGTATGATTCTATGAAGTTGCACTTGGTATGTTCTGCCTGTTGAGTTAGCTGGTCCGATTTTATTTCCTTTCCCGCAAGGCCCAACCACCCCTAAAGCGTATTCAAGTGCATCGGCATTGCGCACCTTTTGCATCCTCCAGAGCTGAGAGAAGATAACTCGTGACTGTAGGAAAAAAAAACGAGTCTTTAATGAGCTTTGCACAAAAAAAAGCAGCGAGTTTCTCCGTCCATCGAACGCGGAAGGTGCTTGTGGATCAACAGCAGGAACGCAGGACCTTTCTGAAATAGTTCCTGAATTCCATGTTGAAGATTGTGTAGATGATGGGGTTGATGGCGCTGTTCACATAGCCCAGCCATGTCACGATGCTGATGAGGCGAGGCGTGATTTTACAGGAGGTGCACAAGGCCCTTGTTATATGAACCACAAAAAACGGGGTCCAACAGAAGAGAAACGCACCTGGAATGGAATCAAAGGAAAAGGAATTAGCTCCTTCTTAACCATATAATAATAAAAATAATCCTTGCATTTGATATGACACATAATAATAATAATAATCCTTGCATTTGTTATAGCGTCTTACCATGTCATTGAGACGTCTCACAGCGCTTTACAGAATATACCGTAAAGTAAGTTGACTGTATATTTGTGGGCGAAACACGGCAGGCAATTGCGCAGATGCAGCGTCCCAGAAACAGTCATGGATTGAGTGATCAAATTTTTTGGGAGGCATTGTTATCCCCTGGAAAGTGATCTGCCAATCGACTGACAACCGGGTGCCTACTTACTGCTACGTGAACAGGGGCACGTGGAGTGCGGAAACTTGCCTAACGTTTCGCCCTGCCCGGGAACCGAACCCGGGTCTGATTCACTAAACGCCGTATGGCGAGAGGAAGCACAACATGTGAGATGGCTTTGCTTGTGTTTGAAAGGAACATCGGGAAGATTTGGAGATGTAATGACCGTGATTCCGATGAGAGGAAGATGTGAAACGTTGTGAAAGGTGAGTGAGGCGCAGTCGCTCGGAGGTCAGTGTAGATCATTCATGTTTATGCTTTCGGAAACCAAGAAGCAATATGTATTAAAAAGAAAATCAAACCCTACAACAGTCGCTTCAGTTAAACAGCATTGCAGCAAAACACAACCTTTTTCCCGCAAATCAATTGGTAATTGAGTGTCAGCAACCAAGACACTTTCTCTGAAGCAGCCTGTTCGCAACCTATTACATGGTTTTAAGAGGAAGCCTTAAAAGTGTGTCTCAGATGAGCTAATATAGCTTCGAAGATATCCATGCAATTTTTTTGCTAATAATAATTTGCTAAATAATAATCCTTGCATTTGACACAGCCCCTTATCACGTCTTCGAAACGTCTCAAAGCACTTCACAGTATATAGTGTAAAGTGAATTGACTGCATATTTTGTGGGCGAAACATGTCAGCCAGTTGCACGCAGCAGCGTCCCACAAACAGTCGTGGATTGAGTGAATTTATTATCATTTTGAGGGAATTATTACCCCCAGAAAAGCGATCCACCAATCGACTAACAACTGCTATGTAAACAGAGGCGTGTGGAGTAGGGAAACTTGCCCAACATTTCGCCCCGTCTGGGAATTGAATCCAGGTCTCTCGTTTGCGAGGCGAGTGCTCTAACCACTGAGCTACAGGACTCCACACAGAGTCCTCTCCAAAATATACTGTAAAATGAAATGACTGTATCTTGAAGGGACTTGAAGATCTATATTTTTGCTTCCTCTTGATTTTGAATGGAAAGAATGTGTGTGTGGGGGGTGTGTGTGTGCGCACAATATTTTACAGTTAATCCACTTTGCAGCATAACCTGTGAAGTGCTTTGATATGTCTGGACAACGTGATAAGACGCTATATCAAATGCAAGGATTATTATTCGATTAGATGAGCTGCAATAGCGCGAGCCTCTGGAACAGCCAGGGTTTGGAGGTGAGGGAGGAGCACACAGTATCTGGCAGCTTGGCAAGCTGTGGAGGGAGGGCAAGCATCATGCGACAGCGACTGTGCCAAGGCCAACAGATGAAGGGGAGGAAGGGCTGTAATGAGAGCACAAGTGGCACGAGAGCACCATTGGCAGGAACCTTCAACTGATGCAGACGGAGGGCGTCAATCCCTCTGTAATCATGACTCCTTTGCGGCTGTAATTCAAAGGCAATGGTTCTTGTGTATACATATATATATCTGTATATAAAAAAAGTTTTCACTCATATCAGTGAGAAGGTGCAGGAATTGAAGTCTGGAAACAGACAAAAACCCTCCTGGCAAATAACACAGAGCGAGTCAATGAAAGGAACTCTTCTGTCAAAGTGTCCATGATGTTAGTCATTACTGAAACCCTGCACAAGATCTGTACTTAATTGCCTCCCTCGGACATGAGAAGGATGTCTTTTGAATGGAGATGGGGGCCAAGTACAACTTTCATGCAGAGGAGGGGGTCACGGGCTTGATCAGATGCTGAGCAGACAGAAAATTTGCGTCTGGGGAGTTCAGCTCGAGCTTGTGAACGTTGCTGTTTGCTGGAGTTTAGGAACCGATTCCAATCGAGTCAGGACTTTGGTTTCATCGTCTGGACCAGGCCGAGAATTATTGGATTGAACCATTTGGCATTATCATGGCGAGTGCTTTGTGATAATTACAAAACGTCAGAAATTTCACCCTCATTGACGAGGTGGGGGTCCAAGGTTGGAGCTCGGCATTACTACCTTCCCGCTCCCCTCCCTGATGGTGTGGCCAAAATTGGGAAGTTAGTCGGTGTGAGCAACAACAACAACTTGCATTTATATAGCGCCCCCTCATGCTGCTCCAACCTTGGGTGTCCACCAGCAGAACTCAACCTTGAGGAGAATGTTTGCTATTTATTCAAATGTTGAGGTTGAATTGTCAACAGCTTCTCTGATGGCTCAGGGTTGATCTCCCTCCCGCTGCCCACTCCCACCTCTATCTATTTAAAAGGCTCCTGAAAACCCATCTTTTTGGTCTTGCCTACTGTCGCCTCCTTTCTCCTCCATCCTTCCTGCTCAGCATCTCTGGTTGGGAGAGAGGAAGGTTTGCAAGTGCCCACAACCCAGAAAGCTGTGTCTTTCCTTTTCCAGTGTCTTTGAAAACTTGCCAAGCATCAGTGGTTGACTCAAACCTCACCAGCAGATACTAATAATAATAATCCTTGCATTTGATAACAGCGCCTTTTCATGTCATTCAAGACGTCTCAAAGCGCTTCACAGAATATACTGTAAAGTGAATTGACTGTGTATTTTGTGGGAGAAAGTCTTGGTCCTGAATGTGCATGAGTTAGCACTCAGATGTCCTAATGAATGGAGTGTGGCTGGCCCAAGCACATACACACAAACACTGTGCCAGGATTACAGCATCCTTTGAAAGTTCAGGCTTTGAGTGTTCTGCACTTAATGGTCACTGGTTCATCACAGAGCAGGGCATGAAATTATCACCTTGTCTAACATAAGATGGCTGGTTCTCTTGCTGCGATCTGGGTGCTGTGATTAAAAATAGCTGAGCTTCTGTGAATAATCTGCAAGCGAGACCGGGAAGCCTGAATTAGAACTAAATCGGAGAGATCTCATTAAGGACAACCCAAGTATTTTATGTCACGTGGAGCTCCAGCGTTCAGGTGCCTCTCAGTTGCTGAATGAAAGCAAATAGCCTCTTTAGAACTGCACAAAGGGGCTGCCGGCACTCACACTGGGTTCCCTGGAGGCGATGAACTTTATGACTCAGGGTGATTTCTTTCACTGAATGTTACAGGGCAGGGAAGCAAGCCATTCAGCCCAACAAGTCCCTGCTGAGGGCATTCAATCTGGAGGAACTACATCTCTACATATCAAACCTCCACTCCTCCTGCTCCCCTCTCCTCCACGCGCCTATTCCCTTCTCCCTCGTGTACGCATCAAGTTTCCTCTTAAAAAATACGTTGATGTTCTTTGCTTCAGCCATAGCTTCCGGTAGGGAGTTCCACATTCTCACCGCCCTCTGCGATGAAGAAGTTCCTCCTAAGCTCCCTATTGCATCTGCTGCTGGCTATCAGCAACAAAGACGTCAACAACAACACAACTCGCAATTACACCGAGCCTTTCACGTCAGGAGAATGTCAGGACTGTAAGCTGATTTGACACTAATTCCATTTGTTGGTCAAGTTCCCAACACCATTAGCTTACCCTGTGCTCTGTAAGATGTACAACAGTCGGTGAGGGTGGGGGGGGAACGACGAGGGAGGGAAGGGGGAGGGCGAGGAAGAGTATCAAAGCCACACTACACATGGGTCAACACACTACACATTTGTCAACCAGCCACATAGTCAGGCACGAGATGGCAAGGCTTACCCACGACAATAGGCAGCACCTTCATCGCCTTGCGTTCCCTCCCGTTGATCTTGGCTCGCTTCCTCCTGGACGGCGCCCGCGACGGAGCATACCTCACCTCGGCGAAAGCCACCGTCTGAATCGTCCTGTCACCCCCACACTCGTCTGGGGGGCCACGGTCCGGCTTGGGGTACAGACGCAGATCCTCCAGCTTGATTCCCGACTGGCTGCGCTCGATGAGCGGGGGAGGGCAGGTGGGCACTGGGGGGCCACTGCTCAGCTTGAGGGAAGCGTGTAAACTGCGCTGGAGCTTCTCCTTGCGCGCCTCCTCCCATTGTCTGAGGCCGCGGAACATACCGCAATACAGGACCAGCATGACCGGACAGGGCAGGAAGAAGGAACAGACCGAGGAGTAGATGACGTAGTTATTGTTCTCGAGCTCGCACACCGACGCGTCTCTGTTTGGGACATTGTTGAGGCCAAATACAACCGGGGAAGCCACAGCGAACGCAAAGATCCAGGTGGTGGATATCAGCACGATTTGCCGGTGGTCGATGTGCTTCCTGTTGTAGTTGAGGGGAATGGAGACTGCGATGAATCTGCAAGAGAGGTTTCTGTTTAGTTTGTTTTAATATATATTATTTCGAAAGGAAAAAGGGTCCCGTCCAGCCCCTCTCCAAACCCAACACGCACTCTTCGGAGATCAGCTCGTGTGTGAAGGACAAAGGCTCTTCGACCCTCGTTTGATTCTCATCCCAATGTCATCCCGTCACAGCATCCAGCTGTTTCCGGATGCTGTGATGGGAAAGCTGAGGCCCCACCCGCCTGCTCAGGTGGACGTTATAGATCCCTTGGCACTATTTTAAAGGAGAAGGGAGTTTTTCTCTAGTATTCCTACTTAGAATTATGGAGTCACCTTATCCTGTGTCAACTACATGGTCTTATCTGTCTCATTACTCTCTATCCGTCTCTCTCCAAATAGGGCACTCTCTTGCTCGCTTCCCTCACACCCTTTAATATTATAATAAGAATAACACTAATAATAATCCCTGCGTTTGATACAGAACCTGTCACGTCGGGAGGACTTCTCAATGGGCTTCACGTGATTCACTGTGAAGTGTAGTGCAGTGACTGTATATTTTTGTACGAGGAAGATGGAGGGAAAGGGAGCTGAAAGCAAGGTCGAAGCCGGGGAGGAAGGGAGCGAGGGAGGCAGAGGGAGACTCAGGGATGGAGTTCTGGAGAGCAGTGGCAGAATAACTAAAAATCAGCCTTTCTCAAATGTAGGCGATATTCGGTTTGAAGTGCGGTCTGATTCGTAGCCTTGTATCACTGTCATCTCCAGTCGGTTAATTAATGGGTTTGAGAGCCAGGTTGAGCTCCACCATCCTGTACGCCCCAGGCTGTGAGCTGAGGATGGCCAATCTGTGGTGTGTAGCCTCCCGCTCGCTGCGTGTCGGTGCATGTTGATTAGATCAAGAACAATGCAATGACCCACAGCCCTGAGTCCCTTGGCTGCCCTGTTCAGCCACATCATCCGTCCTTCAGATGAGATCTTAAACCCCATCCGTCTGTTCAAGCGGACACTAAAGATCCCTTGTAAAGGGAAGGGAGTTTTTCTCTCCTGGTGTCCTGGCCAATAATCCCTCCAAATAAAATTGGCCATTCATTGCACGGCAGTTATGTGGGACACTGCTGTGAGCAATTGTGCTGCTGCTTTTGCCTACACATACAGTCACTCCATTTCACAGTAATTGCTGTGAAACAGTTTGAGATGTCCTTTCGATGTGATAAGGTGCTATACCAAATGTAAGTATTATTATTATTACTATCCTATTGACAACTTCTGGCTTATTCCTGGACCTCCCAACTCCTCCTTACACAACTACCGACTATCCAGATCTCTGTAGTTTTTAATGAGTATTTATGACCCGGGTTAACAATCAATGTTGGACATGGTCTGTCTTAAGGATAGACTGGAATAGGTACTCAGTCTTTTGTGTGAATTATGTTAAGGGACAGGGACCTCTATTGTAGACTAATCCATATAGAATTAATTGCTATCATCTCCATTATTGGAGCATGTGACTATACCAGGATGGCAGAAGGCAAACTAGATGGACCTTGGTCTTTTTTCGGACAGCGATTCCTATGACTTTAACTAAACATCTGAGCCACTCAGCGTGTAATGTAAGTGGGTTTGAGGTGTTCTATAAATGTAAATTGTTGTCGCTTCCTCTGGCTTTTTTTTCCCTCCCCTTTAAAAGTCAACAGTCAAAATAAAAAGTGAATCCAGGAAGTAAGTGGCACTTTGAAAAACTTGTTTCGGCTTCAATCCTAACGAGCAGAAAGCGTTATAAGAGGGGATTTACCTTAACAAAATCAAACCAAACTACCATCTCCATTTTTCCCTTCAAACAGCGCTCTGCAACACAAAGTGAAACCTAGCATACCAGATGTTCAATGGGGGGGGGGGGGGGTTGGGTTGTGGTCAGCCGTGTGCCTGACACATGTGGAAACCCATCACCGTCCTTAAGAGTATCCAAACTAAACTGAGAATTCTACTTTTAAAAATGAGCAACGTTAGCAATCCTGTTTAAAGTGGAAGCTGCGTGTATATTTTTGTAGGCAATCTGATTTTGCAAAAGGCTTTGCGGGTATTATCATTGATCCCGACTTAAGCTATGATTAAGACAGTGTTGTGAGAGGCCAATACTTATTTGCCTGCTTATTAATATGTTCTACCACTTATAGATGAAGGACATTACTGAGCTGAATACAAGTCTTGCTCATTTATTTATGAATTCCTTTATCTGGTGTGCTTCACGTCCCCCGCCCACTCCACCCCACCAGCAGTGGTGAGGGTTTTGCCCAAACACCCCCCCCCCCCCCCCCCCGTCTGCCTGGGAACCAGGGGAGTTGGGGATTGGCGGGGGTGGGGGTGTGGGGAGAAGTGTAGAGTGGAGCGGAAAGATGACTGAAAGCTCAGTCAAAGAGGTACTTGTGTCTCAGGCTACATTTGTCTCAGGCTACAATTTTTACAGCCATGTTAATGCATCAGATAAACACATCAATGTCAGAAACAACACCACCACCAACAAAATTACATTTATAGAGCGCCTTTCACGTCGGGAGGACGTCCCAAAGCGCTGAACAGTCAGTCAGGTGTCGGGGCCCGAGCATGGGGGAGGGATGGTGTAGGGGTGAGGGAAGGCAGAGAGGTGGGAGGGAGACCAAAGGCACGGTCGAAGAGAAGGGTCTTGAGACCGACCTTGAAGGAGGCGAGGGAGGAAGCGAGGCAAAGGGACCGTGGGATGGAGTTCCAGAGTGAAACTTCCCCTTCACTATCTGCCACATTGAGGATGCTTTCATAAGAATAGCCACATTACTTAATGGACCATTTAATTCTCGCACTTCTCTCATGTTTGTTTTCTCCCTATCATATTCCATATTTATATATGTAACTGCCCAACCCCCGCAGCCTCTCTCTCTCTCTCTCTCTCTGTCCCTCTTCTAATCCAAAATAGTATAGAGTACAGACCGGTCTACGCTGATCGCACACAAGTTGAATATCGAGGCTGTGCAGAGCATCACGTCCATTGTCATCAACGCATCACACAGCACCGTGCCTAAGGTCCACACTCCTCCCTGAAACTGAGAGGAGAAAAAAAAACATTCATTCACAAGTCAATCAACACCTTTCAACTTCCGACTGTAAAGTGGCTTCAAGTGACCGTCCTTCTAAAAGTATCTTGGACCCCCTGGCTCAAGTGTATACCAAACGTAAGGATTATTATTAGAGAAAATCAGGAAACCTATCGATCTGCAAATTGAATGCGGACGTGTGTGACAATGTAAAACAAACGAACATAGTTCCTATTCCAACCACAAAATATATAGTAAAATCACTTTACAGTATATTCCGTGAAGGGCTTTGAGACGTCTCAAAGACGTGACAAGGCGCTATATCAAAATGCAAGGATTATTATTATAATCGTCACTGCAACTGCGGCTGTTAATAAGACTATTCAAAAATTGTTTGACAAAATACCTGGTGAACAAAATGTCAACCTCCTGCAAAGAGTCGCTTTTTTAGGAAGCTCAAATGTATTAAGAAAAGAAAAGTAATATCCATTGATATGTAAAGTGGCAGTGTTATTGGTCTGGCTGACCCATCACTGAAAATCATTTAGAAATTATTATTAGTTGTAGTAATATTGGGAACGTGCTGAAGCAGAAAGCACCAATATATTTAAGAGCAAGTGACTGTGTGTTTGTCAGTAAAACATGTGGTTAATCTGCGTACAACAAGGTCCCACGGATATGAAATGAATCACTAAGGAATCTGGAACAAATGGGGGTGGGGGGGAAGAGAGAAACTCAGTTACTAAAGACTTCTGATTTAATGAACCCATCTCCGCCATTAAGAGAACTGAATTATACTCTATGACTTCATCTTGCCTGCAGCCTTCTCTCTTAGCTGTGCCCTAATGGAGTGTTCATTCACACCAGAACGCAGTCACTGATCAACTGCTTCTTAAAGTAATAACTGGAGTGAAATTCGAGTGAACTCCTAATTATTTCTGTTTTTTTTACAAAAAGAAGGCAGTCGCAGATTTCACTGCTCTTTTCGATTTTTAACTGGACCCTAAAACTGAGCTGTTGAGTCCTGAATTAATCGCATGCCCCATTTCTCTTTCTCAGTTTACTGCCTATTCTCTGTGCAAAGAAATACTTCCTGGTTTCTGCAGGAAATTGTCTATCACAGCACTGAACCTTTTCCCTGCTGCCCTGCTGCCCCAGAGTATCTGAAAGAGCTCTGGGACCCTACCCTATGTGAGGGGCACTCGATAAATGCAAGTTGTTGTTGAAAGGATTATTCTAGGTTCACTTTCTCTACCCTGTTAAGTATCTTAAACACCTCTATAAAGTCCTTGTCGCACCTCTCCTCCAGCCCATCAGTGCTGACATTTTAGCATGGATTTAATGCATAAACCACACTGAACCAAAACTGCCAAACAGTATCATAGAATTATTCAGCACAGAAAGAGGTCATTCGGCCCATCATGGCTGTGCCGGCTCTTTGAAAAGAGCTATCCAAATCAATCCCACTCCCCCGCTCTCTCCCCGTAGCCCTGCAAACGTGTCCTCCCCAAATAATTATCTAGTAATATTAATAATATTAATATAATCCTCGTACTTTATGGCGCCTCTCACTTTGGGAAAGCAATATGGAATTTAATGTAAGCCAGCACATGGGACTTGGGACATCTCCTGTCGTGAAAGGCGCTGTACAAATGTGATTTGTATTGATGAGAAACGAGAGTGAGCAACACTCAAACAGACAGTCACGCTCACGGTTGGTGCGAATTTTACGGAAAGCCAATAGAGGAAAAAAATCTATAAACCGAAGAAGGACAAAAAAAGACCTTTTCGCGGAGGTCAAACCTCAAAGCTGTGATGAGGAAAATCCCAGTTGGTGAGGCTGATGTTGACATGTCCATCAACCCCAATCCCCTGCCAGGAGCCCAACTAAACCTGATCCCTGTTATGTAACTAAGGTCAAGTGTAAATATGTGCAAGTGTATTGCACAGCCCCACTCCGCACTGGAGGCGACAGGGCTGTTACAGTATATATTTTTACTCTGGTATCGATCGGTCGGTCGAAAAATGTGAGTCTCCCTTTGGAGATCTTTAAAAGTAATGAGGATAAATGATTTCAATCCAACAGATTCTCTGACCCCCACCCCCACCACACACACACACACACCACCTATAACACGCCCCACTGAGTGTATGTATGTGGTTGACTGAAAACATGTTATGCCAAGAACACTGCTATCCTTTGCTCGTTTGGTGCTTTCTGGTGGTGGGGGGGGTAATATTTGTCCATTTCGACCCTGATTTCCCCCTTGATTTCTCCCTTTCCTGAGCGAAATTACTGGCAACAACAATAACCAATAATAAATAATTCAATTTCCCTTAAACATCTTTTTGGAAGATAAAACGTATCGAATCTTTGCGAATCGAGCAATTTCCAAACCCACCTGGATTTCAGGGTTCCCCCAAGCCCACCCCCAATCCCCCACCCCCCCTGTCATTAAAACAAGCCAGAGAGAGAGAGAGAGAGAAAGAGAAAATACACAGTAACATAATAATCCTTGCACTGTGGTGAACGTGACACTATTGCAGGCAAGGATTTCTGCAATAGTTTCATATATGACCATATATATATATTAAATGCAATCATTTAGTGTAATATAATATACACACACCATATATGACCATATATATATATTAAATGCAATCGTTTAGTGTAGTATAATATATACACACCATATATGACCATATATATTAAACGCAATCATTTAGTGTAATATAACATATACACACCATATATGACCATATATATATATCAAATGCAATCATTTAGTGTAATATATATATACACACACACACACTCACACATACAATAATTATAGTTCTCCTCCACACTCTTACACTTGCAATGAATTGGTTGCACTGTGTACGCATCGAGACCCGAATTGCCCGAAACTCTTTTCTTTGCAGAGATTTCCAAAGGGAACCTCTGATGTGAGCGAGAACGGTGTTGGGGGGAGAGGGGGGAGAAGGGGGAGAGAGGGGAGAGGGGAGAGGGGGGAGAGGGGAGAGGGGGAGAGGGGGGGGGAGAGGGGGGGAGAGAGGGGGAGAGGGGGAGAGGGGGAGAGAGGGGGAGAGGGGGGAGGGGGGGAGAGGGGGGGAGGGGGAGGGGGAGAGGGGGAGAGGGGAGGAGAGAGGGGAGAGGGGGGAGAGGGGGAGAGGGGGAGAGGGGGGGAGAGGGGGGAGAGGGGGAGAGGGGGGAGAGGGGGAGAGGGGAGAGGGGAGAGGGGGAGAGGGGGGAGAGGGGAGAGGGGGGAGGGGGGGAGGGGGGAGAGGGGAGGAGAGAGGGGAGAGAGGGGGGGAGAGGGGGGAGAGAGGGGAGAGAGGGGGGAGAAGGGGGGTAGAGAGGGGGTCACTTCACAGACTCGAGTGGGGGTAAAGAAGACGACTCCCCCCTTTACCTCTGTGTAGACGTAGAGCGGTAGGACCAGCACCGCGAGGAGGAGATCAGCCACTGCCAGACTGACTATAAAGTAGTTGGTGGTGGTCTTCAAGGCTCTCTCGGTGTAGACGCTCAGGCACACCAGCCCATTGCCGCCCACGATGAAGAGGATGAGCAGAGACCCCAACACCAGAGACAGGACATCTCTCTGCCATCGCCTGGAGCCGAGCGGCACAGTGCCATTGGAGGTGATGTTGCTCATAGCCACCGAACAGCCGCCGGGACCCCGAGAGACAACTTCCCAGTGTGTTTGAGCCCACACATCACTTTCCACCTCTCTCTCTCTCTCTCTCCCCCCCCTCTCTCTCTCTCTCTCTGTGTCTCTCTCTCAACACCCTCCACACACCCCCTCTCTCTCTCTCTCCCCCCCCTCTCTCTCTCTCTCCCCCCCTCTCTCTCTGTGTCTCTCTCTCAACACCCTCCACACCCCCTCTCTCTCTCTCTCTCCCCCTCTCTCTCTGTGTCTCTCTCTCAACACCCTCCACACACCCCCTCTCTCTCTCTCTCTCTCCCCCTCTCTCTCTCTGTGTCTCTCTCTCAACACCCTCCACACACCCCCTCTCTCTCTCTCTCTCAACACTCAACCCCCTCCCCAATCTCCAGCCTTCAGTTTCTCAGCAAAGAAACCCTTTTACATCTCTACCGCAAGTTAAACAGGCGCTGGAACCATAAGGATTTCCTCTCTCTCTCTCTCTGTGTCTCTCTCTCTCTCTGTGTCTCTCTCTCTCTGTGTTTCTCTCTCTGTGTCTCTCTCTGTGTGTCTCTCTCTGTGTGTATGTCTCTCTCTGTGTCTCTCTGTATCTCTCTCTCTCTGTGTCTCTCCCTCTATCTGTCCCCCAAATTGCAAGGACATGAAAGGGTCAACCCCAAACCCTCACTGGCTGGAGATCATGTCTGTGTGTGTGTGTGTGTTGTGTGTGTGTGTGTGTGTTGTGTGTGTGTCTGTGTCTGTGACTTTGTCTAAGAAAGGACCTGACAAGTTGGAAGTTCCGACAGAACTGTGTGGAACAGCGCGGTTCGGATCCCTTAAGTGGGTCACATCAAGGAGGGGAAAAGCTGATTATAGCCCAAGCCATACAGTCAGCCTGGAGAGACCTGAGCCAACACCTGTTGAGCTCATTTGGGTTTCTTTTTTGTTGTTGCCCTGGTTCCTTTGTGTGAAATCCACAGGCTTGAGTCTCACTGTAGACTGTTACACACACACAAGATAATAATAAAATAATAATAATAATCCTTGCATTTGATACAGCGCTTTTCACGTCGGGAGGACGTCCCAAAGCGCCTCACAGAACACACTGTAAAGTGAATTGACTGTATATTTGTGGGCGAACGCGGCAGCCAATTGCGCACAGCAATGTCCCACAAACAGTCGTAGATTGAAAATGACCAATTTATTATTGTTTTTGGTTTTGGAGGGATTATTATTAGGCTCTGTGTGGAGTAAGGAAACTTGCCCAAGGTTTGGCCCTCTGCCTGGAATTGAACTCAGGTCTCTCACTTGCAAAGCGAGTGCTCTAATCACTGAGCTACAGGACTCCACTGTATAGTGGGAATCTGGAATTCTCTGCCCTGCATCAATTCAAGGAGATTGGATCAATCGAATTTTTTTTCAAGACTGATAGGTGGATAGGTTTCTGTTAGGTAAAGAGTATCGAGGGATATATGGAGCAAAGGCGGGTAACGGGTCTTGAGGCACAGATAAGTCGTGATCTAATAGAATGGCCGAATAGGGTCCCAGAGCGGGTGGGGACGAAGGCTGAGTTAATTTAAGAAATTCCCGTGCTCAGCAATCTGTGGAACACTGGGACTTATGCAGCACCTCGTTCCCCCACCTTTAAGGTTCTGACTCCTCCATCATTGAAAATTATTAATGATAATGTTAATCCTTACAGCGCCTTTCCCGGCGGGAGGACATCTCGAAGCGCTTCGCAGGACACCCCCGTAAAGTGGTGTGACCGCGCGTGTTTTGCGGGCGAATGCGGCGGCCGATTTGCGCACAGCAACCGTCACACAAACAGCCATGAAGTGAACGAGCGACTTTATATGGGGGGAATTGTTGGCCAGGACAGAGGGAGAGAGAAAGTTCTTTATCTTTTCGAACAATGTCACAGGATCTTTATCGTCAAGGTTAAACAGGCAGACGGGACTGTAGTAAATGTCTCATCTGATGGATGGTATCTCCGACAATGCAGTGGTAACCCCTCTCTTCCCCCGTCCACCCCCAGCACTGCTTTGTACAGGAGTAAACTACATTAAGTACAAAGTGTGGCTTGAACCACAACCCTCTGACTCAGCGGCAGGAATGCCAGGAACGGAAGCAGGCTAACAGCCAAGTAATAATAATTATTACATTTGATATGCCACCAGGAGGACATCTTAAAGCACTTCGCAGGATATACTGTAACATGCAGTGACTGTGCTTCGCAGGCGATTGAATAGTAGACTAGGTATAAACAGACATGGTCAGATGTGCTCTTATCACTGGAGCACAATTTCTGGAGCAGATAGTATTTTAGGAACAACATATAGGCACCTCAGTGTAAATGCACATGTACAACTCACATGATCTTTTAGTAGTAAAGTGACTGTATAAAATCATTTTAACACAAACACATCTCATTGTACTTGCTCAGAAACCTCATGGGCTGGCTTTAGCCTCCATTATCGTTAATGTTTCCATGAATTTGTCGAATTTAAGATTTTTTTCCCCCCATAAAAATTCTGCAGCGTCTTAAAAGACTAAGACCTTCAGGAATTTCAGGAGCTGTGAAAGCCTGGCTTTGTTTGAAAGATGATTTGGCTATTGAGCCTGAATGAAGCTCATTGTTAAAGTGACAACAAGAGAGGAAACAAATCAGAATTAATCTTTGCCGATCAACTGGAAGGTGCAAATTGAAACACGTTTTGTCCACAAAATATACAGTCGATTCACTTTACAGTATCTTCTGTGAAGAGCTTTGAGACATTTCAATGAAGTGATAAGGCGCTATATCAAATGCAAGGATTATTATAATTATTATTATTGCGCTTAAATCCCATAGCCTGAGAAAGCTAAGCACTGAATTCCCTGTGCTGACGGCAGACCAAAGTGCAGTAATAGGCAATGACGCTGAGGTCTGATAGACTGGGAAGTGAATAGCCCTGTAAAAAACTAATCCAATTGATATAAGCGGTGAAATTGATGTACTGTGATGGGTAATCTGTCTGAGTGAGATTTCTCCCATTCTCCAGCTGAATCCCTTTTATGCAGGCTCTTTGGTGAAGGAGTTTAAGAGATTAGCACTGGCTGCTCACAGATGTTTGACAGCTTTGACTGGAGCAAGCGGACAATTCAACACAGCAGCAGCAAAAGTCTAACTAAGCCCACTGCACAGCGCGGCTTGGCCTGCAGGAACCTCGAGTCAGAAGAACATAACGACGTCAGAAATGCTAGACAAAAGAAGACCAAGGTCCATCCATTTTGAGTCGCACTGGGAGTCTGCACTCACAGTCTAGGCTGACGCCCCACTGCTGCTTTGTTGGAGATGCTCTCGGGCACTGCCCTGCGTGAGGGGGCGCTGTATAAATGCAAGTTGTTGCTGTTGGTGGTGGTGGTGCTGTCCTTCGAATGAGATGTCCTTCCCTTTAAGTTCTTGCATTGTTTTGCCCCCACTCTATCTCTGCAACACCCTGTTTCCCCCCCCCTCTCTGCCAGCTCTGGCCTGCTTCATGCCCGCCCCCGCGCCCCCCCCACCCCCTCCCCCACGCTCTGTCGAACTCTGTCGATGGGTGAGATTTCAGCCACTGTGCCCCTGTCCCGACAGCAGCGGCAAGTGGGACTGTCAGATTGGCCCACATGTTGGTGAAACCGTTGCCTGATTTAGGGATGGTAGTACTCGAGTGGTTCGCAGCGATTCCCAGTCCCTCTCGTACGGAATCGAGGGATATTTTGGCCAATACTGTGTAACTGCGCCATCCCAAACTGCTCAGGCGTTACCTTGGATACGGCTGACGGTGATGAATCTTTACACGTTTGCCGTTCATTTGCAAAACGGCAGCTGAGGCGCATTGAAGGTTCCGAGAGTGACTGTTCTGCAAGGGCGTGAAAAATTGCAGGGTTTATTTTAAAACCTGTGGCGTCGTCTGATTTAAGGTGTTAGTTACTCTCTATTTGTACTGTCCAAATATTCTGAGCAATCTCCGTGAGCAATCCACGGACAGTCAGAGCCATCAGACACGCCTGGGTGGAGTCAGTCTCTACTGTCGTCATTTTGAGCTAAAACCGCCAATGGAGAGACTGCTCTGTGTGCAATAATCCAAAGTACGCATGAGGTGTGTCCGTTAAATTGGAAATGCACACAGTCAACCTTAGTGACGAGGCTTAAGCTGGGAAGCAAACCTTTAAACCTTTTATCGGTTTGGCTAATTCATCCACAATATAAATCTGACGGCTTGTTATACTTGAATAGGTTAACGTGTGACTTTCTGCCCTGAGTTGAACGAAACTAAAGCGCAAACACACAGGGTGAACAGGAGTTCACTGGCACTGGGTATTCTGGGGCTCGCTCCTATACACTGTATTTGATATAGCGCCTTATTATATTGTTGAAACATCTCAAAGGGCTTACACAAAATCTCACGGTAAAGCGTAACGACTGTGTATTTTGGCCGGGCAGCCAATGCTGGGACTGTAATGGGAGAGAAAGGTAGGAATTCTGGAAGGATGAGATCAAATGGCCCAAAGAGTTTTCTTCATCCCAAACTTTTCTTTGTGACATCTTGCAACATCGGGTTTGACGTTTCACCAACCAACACAAGGTGGATGCTAGGACCTTGGCGATGACATCGTTTTCCTCTTTATTTCCCCATTCCCCTTTGTTTTTCTGTTGAAAATCAAATGTCACACACCAAAGAGATGGATTTTTTTTTCTCATATAACCTTACAGCCCTGGGAAAAGGGAAAGAAGCAAAGGTAGCAACCTGTCAGTATGCCTGAGTGCACTGATCAAAAATAAAACCTGTGTTTTTCGTGAGCTCAGAGTGAGGTCTTGCAATATAAAATTCTACAGCACAGCGGAAGGAGAGAACTTTTTATTGCTGTAGCTCTTTGTCGTGGTGGGAGAACTCAGAGGGCTATCGGTGTGACCTTTGTCCTGTTTTAAGATCTGCGGAAAAAGCGGTTTCCGAATCCGCACAGAGGTTCGGAATTTTTTTCCTGGCTGGTGATCCCCCAGATAACTTTGGTC